TGAATTCACTCTTGAATATAGCTTCCCAAAACGGCTAGATCCACTGCTAGCGCCTTTTTCCAGCTTAAGCTATAACACGGCTACTTTAGGACGTACCTAAAACGATTTAATAAAACACCTACTAATTACTACATATGCAGTCACAAGCCTAAATCACTATAGCATCTTATACTACAATGCCCTAAATATAGTAAAGAACGCAAAAGACTAAAAGACAGTGTCCCATTTAGGCTTAGCCTATGCTCCCTCTTTAAGACGAAAATCGGACGGTAGCATCTGCTAACCTTTTTAGGTGAAACGGGTATTAGTACCCGCAAATGGCGGCTTAAACGGGCAGAATTTAATAATGACTAAGCATTACGGCTTAGAAGTCTCACCGCCCACTTTTACCGATTAAATCCATTGATTTTTCCCAATTTTGGCTCAGAATGCATAAGAGCGCGATTGCAGCATAAGAAACGGCTATGCTAGCTGACCGCCTTTGCTTTCTGCCACTTTTGATTCACTTTTTATTTATTAGTTATGCGATTTTTAGGGCTTTAGGGGACTTTTTATTATGGCGTCTCTGCTTTATAGACCTAGTCCGCATTAGGCTTAGTCCTACAGATTCCAACCGGAAACATATTGACATATCTCTTGACTGTATTACTAGCCCGCGCTAGCATTAGGCTAGCGCCGTCCTACATAGTCTTAGACTCACACAGGACGTTAATGGAATAAATAAATATGCTATTACAATCGGACGATTTAAACGGGTGGTTAAGAAGTTATAGGTGATTTCGTGAATTCGGAAAAAGTTGTATAGCTGAGAGGCATAACCTCTTCGCGCACAGCGAGCATAGGAATAGAAGACAAGGATACCAACGGAATCATATAGACTAGTCACGACGAGCTAGTAGACGTGATCACAAAGTGATGCAACACCTGTGATACTAACAATTGTTGAACATCTGATTTGATTGCTTTGAAACAAGAGGAACAATAAACAAAGCGACTGTATAACCACTTCTTACTCTCTATATATTTCTTTAAAAAAAGAAACAAAACAATGAAAATGTTATTAGCCATTGATAGTTAGTTGAATAGAGCAAAAGTCTATAGCAATGTAGAGAGAAACAGTGATCAGTATTGACCAGTTTCGTTTGAGAACATGTTTAGGGCTCGAGGGGGAGCAAACGCGGAGTCACGAGAAATTTGAAATACAGGGACTGGCCGCTGCGCAACTACTGCCGTATGAGCTAAACAGGTGGTAAACGAGGTGAGCTGTAGACGTACCTCTTGATCGGACAAGTGGCCTAGTTGCGCCATTTGCACTTGCTGGATTGCTGACTTTCATACCTGCACTCATGCCATAACCAGCAAAGCCAGAACCCCCACCGGTATTGGCACCGAGATTTGCGAGTGGCTGCCGAGGAGATGGTCTTTTCTGATGCATTGGGGTTCCAATAGGACCATTGAACTGCATGTTGGAAGGCCCAAGCCGAGAGAGAGGTTGGTTTTCAGGCGCGAAACGTTGCCGATGGGTAGAGGGAGTTTGGATAGGTTGATTTTCTGCAAGACAATTAGCTTCGGTACATGTCAATCACCGAAATTCGAAACCATACGCTGGGTGCTTTCCCGGATACTGTTACCAGCCCATCCATTGCCGCCATTGCTGCCTCTGAAGTTTGGAGGACCCATATTTCTCCCATCGTCAGGAGGGCCCGTGTTCTGCAGAGATATTGACTGCTGATTGGTGAAGTGGGGCTGTTGATTCTGCTCTTCTAACCTGTCAGCATATCGATTGGCTGTCACAGAAGCCTGAATCGTGTGGTCCACGGCGTCAGAAGCGGCATTCTGCACCTGTCCCAGCATAGCCCGACGCTTCAACTTATCATATAGTTCTTGGGTTTGTAAATGCTTGCGAGTCTTTTCCCGCAGCGCTTGGAAGAGCTCCTCGTTCTTGCGCCTGAAGCCATCCTGATCCACCTGCATGTCTGCAGCACTTATTAGCAGAGTATGGCACTGGTAGGCTTGCCGGGTACTTACTGGAGACCTTGTTACGCAGATTGGATATTTCCGAATTTGCATCGCTGATTATTTTGTCCATTTGCGTGTTTAATAAGGAGTACTTTTCCGACAAATTTTTGGCCATGTATTCTTGATAGACACTGGGATCAAGTTAACAAGGGCGCGTGAGCAGACGAGGCGTGCTCAACCAACATTTCTTGTGCTGTTTGATATGCCCACCAACTCAATGCCCTTCCAGCGCACTCCATGATGGTATTGGGACTTAAACCGCTGAGGACGCTGGTCTTGTAATCTTCGGTGGGGTTGAGGTTGGTGACAACGACATCGTCGGGGTTGGGGAGGTAGGCGTCGCAGGCAGGGCAGATACGACGCATACCATCATGCTGACCGGAGAGTTGGCATCTGTTGGAGCATTCAACACAGAAGACATGGCTGTGGGGGGAAGAAATATATGTTAGCAGTGGCAAGACGGCGGGATACTGTTTATACGATACAATACGTACCTGCAAGTGGTGACAACGGCGTGGTCATTGAGCTCTTTGCGACACTTCAAATCGTTGCATCGCAATGTGTATTCCATGTCCCTGGAAGGTTCTTTTGCTGTAAGATTTGGAGTTGAGTGGAGTGGGGCTGGATTGGTGGAGTACACCATAGAAGGGGGTGGTGGGGGTGAGGTTGGGGTTGGAAGAGGAGGGACTTGCCATGCTATGCTATGCTAGTGGTCGCCCGATATCTTCTCTTCTCTTCTCCATTCTTTCCTAACGGACAGTATATTCCCAACTCAATGCCCACACTGCAAGTATTTCACCACACATGAGTTTTTCTGCGTCGTACAGTATTAATGCTCAAGGTAGTTTCTGTGGCCTCCATGCAAAGTCATCCAAGTAAACTATCCTACCCCTGTCCCCGTTAAAGAAACGTTTTACTGTTGTTCATTTTCTGATGTGCAATTCGGATACGAGCTTCAACACTGGGCTTATATGGCTTCGAATTCCCCCCTCCTGCTGCTGCTGCGTCTATGGGCTGCCATGGTACAGTAGTCTAGTGACGTTGATCCCTCTTAATGGTGGCTCAACCCGGAGAAGCATTTGCAATATTTTCTTCATCTTCTTAATAGTCAATATCTGGTCGTAGACCGCAATTGATCTCCCAGCACTAGTAACCGTGGCTGTAGAGCAAAGCTCTATGTACTCGATGCTGCCACGTTGATGTGTGTAGCCTTTAACGCATTTCACGACCACAATAGGATGGATGCAGCCTTATATTACTATATTTCAAACAATGCACTATACGTGTGTATTTATTCGCCTTGCGTTCCATAGTGTCGTGTATAATGTTCTCTGCAGCCCCAGTTAGCCATACGTACTTATACGCGTCCTTTAGAGAAATTGAGCCATCCTCACTTTTAGTTTAATCATCTGAGTTGTGGATTTGCTGAATCCCACCACTTGAATATCTGTTGAAGTCGCACAATACACCGTGAAGATATGCCTAAAATATATCTATACTTTTATTTTGGCTGGCGACATTCCAAGCTAGTTAAGTCCATGGTCCTAGCTTTGTTCCTAAATTTTTTTTTTTTGGAATAATATCTAACATTTTGAAGTTCTTAAACATCCATGCGGCCACTGTTTGTTCAGACCTGAGTTGTGCTATCTATCCACCTTGAGACGAGCGCAGGAGAAGAAACTTACTCATACTGTAGCTAGATATAAGCTCTCGGACCAAGTTGTCCGAAGCTTCACAATATTTATCTTATGTATTGCTCGACCTTCTACCGTGTGTGAGAAACACAAGAAAATCTTGGGCCATTTCGCGTCTGCTATATGCCGTAGAAAGGCGTTAAATTAGCATCCCGAGACAGTTAGCTTTCTAGTAATACATTTTCCTCAACGAACTGCTACTATCCTGCATATCAACTTCGAGGGTAGCTATTGCTGCAAAGTCGTTTTCCCTAGACCATCTATTGAAACCGCCCAGCCCTAAAGTATTAATAACTCCCGACTCTATTCTTGCCTTCGGTGGCCTTTATAAAGGAAAACAGGTTCAACGGGGTCCATATAAGCAAAACTCGAGGGTCCTGACCAAGCCGAGTAGTTGATAGACAGCAGTCATAGCACAGGGAGCGAGGAGGGTGAATCAATAAATGGCCGCTGCAACCTCCTAAAGTGTCCTAAGATATCCGCATTATTAATACATGGACACAGTGGTCTCAACGAATAAATTCATTCACACTTCATTAAAGCTGGTAAGACCTGCATACCCCCCGAATTATCAATGCTAATGCCAATCGAAGTTTCATCGAGCTGGATTTTCTTTTAGCAGCAGATCATCTTTAGAGGCTTCGATTAAGGAGCCAGGAACAAGAGTTTAATGCAGGTTGACTTGCTTTGAGTCCATAAGATATTAAACTCATTGAATGCCAAGAATATCTGGCGCATACCGTCGCGATAAGTCGTCGGGTAAGAATACATGGCCCTCGCCTCGGATAAAGGTGCTTGAATGATCGTACCTCGCGTACCTCTATATATGTGCACGACAGAGGCATAAGACGAAAGTATTAAGATGCTCGAGCCAGTAAAATCGAGTGATGAAAGATGGGTTTTTTGGTCCCCTGGGGATTGTTTTCTCCGCTATTTCCATTTGGTTTCACCTTTTTGCGTCGAGCAAGGGGAGACGAGATGAGACGCTATGTCCTTTTTGGTACACGAGCAAGTGCATTCGCTCTCAACGCTCATTGGTTAAGCATTAACAACCTTTCAACACTGGGCCCATTGCCGATATTTGGTATTATACGCGGCTTGATTGGTCTCATGGAGAACAGTACCTGCAGAGTGGACATGTCACAAAGTACTAATTCCTGATCGTGGCTAGTGTTCATTGGACAGGACGTCTCTGGGTGCGATGGTCATAGTCGAAGTAGAAAGAATAGGGTTCTGTGCGCGCAGCATTTGAACCACTACAAAGCATCCTAACCTTCACAAGCCTCATAACATCATCTTATTTGGATTGAAGCGGGCTAGCATGGCAAGAGGGGCCGATACTATAGTCCGTTCTACGCCAAGGTTTCAGTCAGTCCTTTTTCCCAGCTAGAGAATGGTGACATGACGCGGGCTTATGGGGCCGCTCTCAAGATATCGTTCTGCGACCGCTAGTTCTGATGTTCAAGCAGGTATGCTTTCCAAGGGGCAATACGACGTTATCTTCAGTAGCGGGGACATCGGCGGGTTACCTAGAGTTGCTTCCAGACTAATAACCAGGGGACACTCTACGATTAAGTATTGAGATCTAAATCCGTAATAGATTCACAAACTCAATCAATTCTCCAACCTTCTTATAGCTTCAAATCTATTGATGACGCCACAGAGGCGGTAACGATGAAGATCGTGCACGGCACGCGCCTGTCTTCCAATCCGTCCACGGTTCATGGTCCACTTTGTGTGGCTTTGTATATGTGGAGGGCCGACAAGCTTTTGGACAAATCGGTAATTAAAGCGAGTAAATCCTAGTGTCCTGGCTTTTCGCTACCATGGTATGATATCAACTCCGCTGCATGACATGGCAAAGGCTCGGACAGGGATCATGAAGAGAAGTGGCATCATAAAATAAAGGACATAGACACAAGATCTTGACGCGGCGTTTGCGTGCGATACTAGATTTCAAGTAGATACCTACGTATATAAGTAGTGCTGAAATCATATATGGTAACATAGTAGAAGAAGATATATGTCTTGGACTGTGGTAGCCGAAGGCAGCGAAAGACTAAGGACGTTGTCCTAGGGTCAAACCCAGCATTCCCATTTCCGAGACATATCGTACGTACCTGTATGCCATTTCAAACCTGGATTAAAAATGCAAGTATGCTGTAGCAAAAGAAGACGGGATAGCAAATGATCTCTTCGCCATGTCTCCGTAATACACTAGGGCTATGTAACGGGCTGCGTGGAGCGCATGAATATAAAGTGTGGGGAAGAAGTTGGGGTTACAAGCGCCACACAGTAAAGTCTGGAGAAGAAGTACTGCAATCTGCGGTATGTGTGCAGTACTGTAAGTACGGGAAGCATAAGTAGCAAGGAACAGTTGCGGCGCGCATTGACGATTGGTTCTCCGGGCCATTAGGGCCAGCACTCCTTCCCGGAGGCTACCATGGCAGCGATCAGATGAAGGCGAAAGGTGAAAAGTGATAGAGTCTGGGATCCCGGGACGGGCACTAAAAGGCCTGGAGAAGGATTTCCTCACTACCTAAGTACCCACTCACTGTAATGTGGCTCGCCACCAACTAACAAATACAACAATGCCGCAGTATGCCGCAGTACATCAGCCCTCTCTTGTACTCCTAGCTATCATTTTCACAAGTCACGAACACCCCCTCTTACAGTATTATAGACCCCCGGACGTATAATAGATTCTCTATGATCAAGCTTCATAACGGGTTTGTATTATGTGTTCTTAAGACCAGTAGTATCAAGGAAATCATAATGCAGCACTCTAACCGGAACTCGCACGAGAACTTGGGAGATACTGTGAGGAATTCGTTCACTCATATATATTCGCAGTCTGCCGACCAGGTACTATCAATCCAGCCAGCTTCTTGCTTTGTTGACGCAGCGAAAGAATCGTTCGTACAGCACCGCTTATCATCCATACATACTGTACAGTACTCGAGTATTACTGCATTAAATGGAAGCTCCCCTGTTCACCAGTCTCGCTGCCGCTGTGATTGCCCGCTACTGAGCGCTCCCGCTGCCGCCAAAGTACCGCAGACGCAAATCATCTCAGGGGAGGTTTGGTTCCTACCCCACCCCAGCAGTAGCAGCTTCTACGTCCACTACTGTGCCCTACTAGACTTCATCCCACCGCTCCTAATCGCAGCACATAATTAACTACTGCTTCTCCTGCACCTTACTTGGTTGGTATTTCTCCAGACTCCTGGCAGATTGGGCTGTAGAAATTGTCCCAAGGGACGTACAAGCTCTCCATGACTCCTTCACCTGGTTCATCCAAGATGTTCCATACTTGTAAGATGAATCTCCCCCAGAGCGTACAATGGTATAACAATTGCGTTATTAACACTTTCTTTTTCTGAATTGCAGTTCAAGGTCTGGCGCCGCCCCAGACGGCATCTGAGCAATCGCAGGAAACACCAAGACCCGCACACAGCGGGGTCTCTAAAAGAATCACAACTCCACACGCATGTGCAGAATGTAAAAGACGGAAAATCCGCTGTGATGGGCGACAGCCTTGCGGTCAGTGTCTAGGATGCCGCTCGCCCAAGCCATGTTACTATGACAAACACCGACAGAGGGTTATCCCTTCACGAAAGTAAGTATGCGGCATTCCGAATCCAGTGGCGGGGTATATGTAGAGTAGAAATTACATGCCGTACAACAATGAGGGCATGCATGACATGAGTGCTAATGAGGCCGCAGGACTCTTGATGCCCTCTCGCAGTCTCTAGAGGAATGCAGAAGCATCCTCAAACGCTTGTATCCCACTCGGGATGCACAGTCACTGCTTTCACTAACCCGCCAGGATCTAATTGCTCTGCTCGATCGTCCAGGACCGCAAGGTCTACCATCTCAAATGTCGCCGACAGGCACGGGCTCGAACACATCTCCGCTCTCCCAGGAATTCCAGTCTCCCATTGCATCCAACTCGGACGATGACCGCAGTCTTGCCAACCTGGAGCAGATCCCCAGCCTGGATATGGAGTGGGACGAGGAGCGGCGCAACCGAGATCCCATACCAGCAGAGGCCGACGACGTGAATGCTCTTTCGCTCTCGATGGATCGGCAGTCCTCGTACTTGGGCGCCAGCTCAATCAAAGCAGCATTCTTGGTGATGCTCAAGGTTGCACCGATCCTTCGGTCATTCCTTGCACCACCTCAAAATGGTACTGGCAATGGAATCACCAATGGAACCAGCAATGGCAACAAGCAAGGAAACGTTGCGGGCAACTATCCAACACCTCGGACTGAAAGTTCGGTGAAAAGCTTAAGCTTGCCTACAATTTCATGGTCTTCGGATGGGCAAACATTGATTGATGCATACTTCAATCGTGTCCAGATCTTTGTGCCTATGCTGGATGAGCCATCTTTCAGAGCCGATTATCTGAATGGGCGACGCCAGGACGCGCCATGGCTTGCCTTGCTCAACATGGTCTTCGCTATGGGCAGCATCGTCGCCAATAAATCCGACGACCACACGCACATTAATTACTACAACCGAGCGAAGGAGCATCTCGGAATTGATAGCTTCGGTAGCGCTCATTTGGAGACTTTGCAAGCTTTGGCATTGATGGGCGGCTACTACCTGCACTACATCAACAGACCCAACATGGCAAACGCGGTTACGGGAGCAGCTTTACGCATGGCCTGTGCAATGGGACTGCACCGAGAGAGCATGCCCGAGCAAAGCGGCAATGCCCTTGTTAGGGAGCAAAGACGGCGGACTTGGTGGAGCGTATTCTGTCTTGACACTTGGGCATCTACTACTCTTGGGAGACCTTCGATGGGAAGATGGGGACCTGGAATCACCATTTGCTCCCCCGAAGAAAGCCTTGATCCGGTCAGTCCTGAAAGGGGTTTCAATTTTACCCTTCAAAAGCTAACCTTTCCCTAGAAAATAATGGGCCAGAATGCTGGCATAATTCCTTTGATTGAAAACATCAAGTTCTGTAAAATATCTACGCAGATCCAAGATGTGCTCGCCCAGTCACCGCTTCTCCGCACCGAGGACCGCACAGTTCTAGACGGCCAGCTTGTTGCGTGGCACGATAGCCTTCCCTGGATCCTCAAGTCAGCGGAACCATGTGCCGAATCTATACACACAGCACGTTCTGTCATGAAGTGGCGCTACCAAAATATTCGCATTGTTCTTTACCGACCAGTCCTCCTGAATCTTGCCAACCGTGGAAACGAAGGCCAGCCGAGTCAGGAAGAGCTGGCAGCAGTAGCTAAGTGCCGTGCCATAGCCAAACAAAGCATCGAGGATATTGCGGGCGAATGGACCCAGAACCAGATGCTTGGCTGGAACGGAGTCTGGTTCTTGTACCAGGCTTCAATGATTCCTCTTGTTAGTATGTTCTGGGAGTCTTGGAACACACAGCTCGTGAGAGATTGCCAGGTTCAAATTGAGATTGTCCTTGAAGCGCTTGAGGGCATGTCTGATTGGTCACTGGCGGCAAGAAGGAGTCGGGAGGTTTTGGTGAAGATGTATGAGGCGAGTAAGAGGCCTCCAACAAGACAAACAAGCCCTCGAATCGGACCGGTGGTGGTAAAGGGAGAGATTGGCATCAAAGGGTTAACACCGCCTTCTATGAACGGTGCCAACGGAATGACACAAACGATGAATGGACACGGAATGAATGGGCAAGTGATGGACGGACTTGAAGTTCAACACATAGATATGATAGGAGAAGACGGAATGGTCATGGTAGATCACCAAGCCGTATGGGATCTCGATGGGATGCTTTGGGGAAATCTCCCAGATGGACTGGATATTCCCTTTGATCGGATGCTAATGGACTTTGACGATGCAAGCATGGGATACGGCGGGAATTACCTGATGCAACAATGACGAAGTTTCGTTTGGATTTCCTAGGGTCTTGAGTGGGGATATAAAACATTGATGAGGTTGGGGAGGTGGGCATTAAATCATCGATACCCGGACGGTTTGGTGGTGCAATTTTTTTTGTGGCCTTTTACATACCAAATTGTTTCACGAGGCATCGTTCTGTATTACGATCTGAGTCACAGTTTCATTATGTGTATATTCGAGAGACCACTGTTATATATTCCTTTTTACATAGCAAGCATATGCACATAAAACTCAAATAACGAATTCAATCCTCAAATCAAGTCCATGAAGTCGATGAAACACCGAGGCATAACTATCTCAACTCAACGAACAAGATATGGACTTCCTTACTCCCAGAGCCCAGGTACCACATAAGCGGTCTCTCCCCTTGTCCTCGTGACTAGATCGATGCTGTTATCTTGCATCACTTCTCGCCTCCTTTCATTTATTTCCTCCCCTAACGATTCCCCACATCCGCCACCGCATCTAGGACCTGAACTAGCTTTTCACATCTTGCATCGCAGGTCTCCCGATACCAACATATACTATCCCACCAACGTAGGTAAATCAACAGGTACCAGCACCATACCTTCCAAGAGCGCATATTGGGCGCATCTAATGCCTGAAGATATGTCAACAACCTAAATTAAAGTTCGCGCCCAACCACAGACACATGCACGTAAGGTGGTGGTCCCGTTCGGCTGACGTAGGAGACGTATTTAAAAGAATGCGTTTGAGCCTATTCAGGCTGTTCGTCATCGTTGGCGCTGGGGTGTGGGGATGCTAGGGGCCGCAGGATTTAGAAAGGGGCGTTCGGCATACTGATGCGTATTTCGTTAATGTCCTTGAGCTATATTTTCAATGTATAAATTGTACTTAGTGGCAAGGTGAGAAAGGTGGAATGCAAGAACCAAATAGTAGAGAATCTTGGAGGAAGTCGAAAGGAGGGCTGAAAACAGAGGCAGGATGTCGGACTAACTGAAAATAAAGTCGAGACTGAATGAATTAGCATTAAATGAAAACATATAGATTACTGAAAGGGGAAGGAAGGGGACAAATCTTGCTATTTACGTCAACTTTAGGGGAGGCAAATGATAGAGAATAAATTCGTGCTGAACGCGCTTGGTGTATGGAATGGAGTCTTTGTCCGATGGCATACAACTTGTTTGAAATAGCTGGCGGCAAGTGAAGGTTAACTTAAACTCAACCTCCGATACTGTAACATGGCAAGATTGAAAGATTGGTACTACCATTACACCGCAGGAACCCTCGCATACGCCCCTCTCCCCGTATTCCTTCCCTATCCCAATAGAGTTGAAGCCGGGATATGAAAACACTATAAAACTTTAAATGAAAGCTCGATTGCCCTCCTCGGATAATCGGGACGAACGATGATCGCCTGCTAAGATGTCCATATGCCTTCACTGCATTTTCTGTCTTTGTGCTAAGTAGGTATTGATCGAGGAGTGAAAATCCTCTCTTCGGCTTCCCAGCTCCCCACATTCTTTTCCATGTCAAAGCACTACGGTCACTTTCCCCAACCCCTACCCTACCCAATGTGAGGGCCTCCCAATCTTCCATGACTCTGGTAACATGTAAATCTGGACCGTCTTCACCTTCACCCCTACCTCTGCTCATCACTTATATATGTATGCACGTCTTCTCCACCTGTTCCCCAAATCTTGGCTGCATCCTCGCATAACCCCAACGGCATTCAAGACCGAAGCCCTACAGGGTTCCCCACCACGCACCCCTAGATCCCAAGGGTTCTCCGCAGACCCCAGACCCCAGACCCCAGAATACGCATCACTGCCTGCGGCCCCCCTGAATCTACGGATTATCTCGTCGCCGAAACTGGACCTTGCATCCTCACTGCCGCGGATAACGCTGAAGTAATGAGAAGCATGCAAATGGTGCTGTTACTGCTGTACCGAGTTTGCCGACTGGCGGACGTTCAATATTAGGATATCTTGGTGTTGTCAAAAAAAAAAACCTGGGGAGAGGTAACAAGGGGGTTCTAATCAAGTTGAACGGACGAATGTATCATGGGAGTTTAGAAGCTAAAATGGTAAATTTGTTGATTTTAGACTTTTGGCGAGGAGAGCCGAGCCGAGACTAGAGGAGGGGTCTACGGGTTTCGGAGATAGATCTCGATAGATTGAGACGAGGTAGACGGCATGGCTAATGTGGAGCGTCGGGCCGCTAGCTAGCTGGCTTGTTTCGTAATTTCTGTAACGCAAGCATAAAGCTATGCTTCACTAAAATATAGGTGGAGGGATATAGGACCGAAGTTATGATGATGGTGATAGCGCAGTCTGATAAAGGCGGGGAACGGATGAGGAATCATGGGGTGCTTGGTGGGGAGTGACACAAGTATTGCATGGAGGTTGATGTCGTTACGGGGATTGAAAAGGAGGTGTGTGATAGAATGACACGTGGACTGGGCATCGAGGCCACGTGCGAGTTCGTGAGATGGAGATGTGCTCCAACATTTGTACTGAGCTTATGAAATAAAGTAATTTGTGTCAAGTGAGGGCTGTGAGAGTTGCTTGTCCAATGCTAGACTTTGGTCGTAAGTGCACATGAAAGACGACTCAATGTGACGATGCTACCTATTGCTTTTAGGTAGCTTTTGTGGGAGTCCTGCAATACTAGTATAGAGGTCATGTGTTTCTAAGCTCTCATTTTGGGACATCGCAATATAAATGACAGGACGCTAATCGAAATGCTTCAAAGCCCAGATAACGCCATTATGCAGATTTTCATGGCTCCATTTGTATCCTTGTAGTATCTACTGCTGCTCGCAGTGGACGTGAAAAGCGTTATTCATTATTGTCGATTTCATTGTTTCTCTCGGCTTAACAGATCGTCAAATTAGTGCTGCCTTTTCTGCCCTGGACGGGTACTCGTAAGTCGTAGTCAGATTCTCAGTACTTGCGCCCTGCTTATGATACCATCAAACACGCACGTGTTATCGATGGGTATATATTGCTTGGTGATGATCTTGATCACTTCCTGAGCGACCATGCCACCAGTCAGTGCAGAGATATTATGCAGCTCTCCACCCTTGGCTCGAGCGACCTCTTCGGCGGCTTCCACGAGACGTTGATTATCGGAAGCACCGAGAACATCTTTGCCTACTGTGGCAAGAATATCAGATGAGCTTGCAGAAGGTAAGTGTGATGTTGCGTTCAGGGATAGATAGATTGGCAGCAGTGACAGAGGCATCATTGTCAATTCTGCCGTCTTATCATTCTCAAACTCCTGGCCTGTACTCCACATTAGCACGCTCTGATTATGGAAGTGTTAATCACCCACTAGCAATAGTTTGTATGCTGGGTGGTGTGGAATCTATTCCCCGAATGAGCTTGATGAAAGCAGCGTTCTTGGAGAAAGTTTCGATTTCCGCCACTTCAACATCTTTGCCACTTGGGTGAGCACGAACGATTTCTAGCACCTCCGAAATGTCGCGACGGGCTTTGGCCTTGTAAATGTTCTGGAGCTGTACGTAAATGGTCGATTGCGCCTTCATGTCTGGCACTGAGCCTGGCAATGGAAGTGCATTATGCTTTCCGTAAAATTGTTTAATAGCATCAGTTATGACCCAGAAACTCGAGGAAGCTTCTACCTGAGTTAAGCGCGTCTGATTAGCGTCTGAAGCTTGATATTGCAGAGGAAAATTCTACCTCACTAGGCTTGTAATCAAACACTTCCTTGACAGAGCTAGCAAGGCTAGGGGCAGAGATTGTTTTCAGTACAGCAGCTGTCGCCTCGTCAAAGTTTTCCTCTCCTCCTTCTGGGTTGTCTCTCCGTGCTCCGGCAGAGACAGTGTCTCTGAAAGCGGTCTTTTCTTTGTAGGTCGAGGGAAGTGATCCATGGATGTCCTTCCATTTCCCGAGGTAGTGAAGGAGGAGCGCAACGTATGGGATGTGGCCATGCTCGTGGGCGCTTTGATTTTCAATATCAGCCGTAACATCCGCCGCAAACTTTGAAAGCTCTGGCCATGGAGTGAGAAGCCTAAGGTCTGTAGTGGCTGTAGATTCAGGGTGTGTATCGACGATGGGGAATGTTCCAGGAAGATGAATACGGAAGTAGGAATAGAAGCCGGCCGAGTGTATCGAAAGTAGGGGCACTTGATTTTTCTCGGCGTACTTTTGGACGAGAGCAAGACTCTCGGCTTCGATTGGGAGGGAGTACATGATCAAGGTAAAATTATGTCCGTGCCCAAACAGGCTCTCTAAAGACTCGCCCTGTGCAATCCTGTTAGTGACTTCCTTGCCTCTGGGATCATGCCGTGGACTTACCTTTTCCCGTGGGAACCAGTCGCCTTTGACGTCTGGATTGAGTTCCTGAAGCAGCTTTACGCAACATTCGGACCTTGGCTTGCCCAGGCAGTCTTCGTCGAGAAAGAAGTTGACGCCTAGATCAGCGTGTTTTACGGTGGCATTGTCTGCAATAGTAAACTTGCCAATGCCTTGCGGGCAATTAGCAATGGCGGTCAAGAGAAGGGGGAGGAGGTAATTAGTTGGTAGCATACCTGGAAGGACAAGGTTCTTCAAAGTCTCCACACCAACAGTGCCTGCGCCTGAGTTGAGCAGTAGAATGTGGGCATCCTCAAGAGCTTGCTGTCCACTTGCAGCCCATAGACGAAGCTGTCGGTCATACTTCTTCTCCTTGTCGGAAGGGCCTTTGAGGATAGGAGGCGCCTGGTCTGTGATGACTGCGGTCATGGTGGAGGGGGAACGGGGACGGCTGTGGACAGAAGTGTTCGGAGATGGAGACTGAAGAGAATGGTACCGACTTTTTGTAGATGTCTTCACCAAACTGTGGGAATAGGTATGGCCGTACCGAAGGTAGATATTATCTGTATTACGGATTTCAAAACAAAAGATACCTGCATGTCACAGTTAAACAGTCATAAATAGGTATGAGATGAGGATGAGATGAGTACGATAAGTGTTCGAGAGCTCTTATCTCCCCGTGACATTAAACACTAGCTGTATTTGACTAAGTACTTGGCTGAATCATCTACCCCTCCATGCCACCGGACTCCGACACCGCCATGCTATGTGCTGTCATGGCATGTTTATGATTTCTACGTATATCTTCAACTTCACGTCGGTACTTGCGGCCTTTTGAGAACCCCTCCCGTCTCATCCCATACCAAACCATTTCCTACATACCATTCAATTTCATGGACTTTGCCCTTCGACGTTCCCTCTCATTACCTCGATTAGCCTGCAATTCTATATCCACATCCACATCCACATTCATATTCAGCTTCTCCAATTTTAAGACAGCAACATCAGCTTTGAGGCCGTCAGGACCTCCGGCGCGTCTTTTTCCAGTGTACTCCTGCAACACCAAACCTCTCACATATCGCCCGCGGAGAGTGACATCCATATTGAGATCGACTTCTCTGCGGCTTCGGAACAGTCACGGCCTGTCCCAGAATTGTCGATCCCTCCATCTCAACCTCAACCAGAACCTCCCAACCTCAATTACCTATTCCCGTCCTCGTACTCGAACAATGGCTACCTCTGCCTCCACCGCCCCTGCTCCTGAGAATGCAGCTCCTCCTCTCACCAACATACCACCGACGAAAGCTCTAGATACTATAGAGGCAGCAAAACGAAGGGCCGCGTACAAGGCAGTAGAAGACCACTTCGACACATCCTACAAATATATTGGCATTGGCTCTGGCAGCACCGTGGTCTACGTTGTGGAAGCAATCGCAGTAAAGGGCAGAGCTGTCACCGACAAGATGTACTTCATCCCTACTGGGGACCAGAGCAAACAATTGATCATTGAGGCAGGCCTTCCACTGGGGAGCATTGATTCCTTGCCGCCAGTGGAACAAGGCCATCAAGCAATTCTGGACGGTGTTTCAGCTCTGCAAGTTGCTACCGGTTTACAAGATTTGGGCTTAAAGGGGAAGCGTCAAAGTCTGGACGTTGCTTTCGACGGTGCTGATGAGATAGATGAGGATCTTAATTGCATCAAGGGAGGCGGAGCTTGCCTATTCCAGGAGAAGCTCGTGGCAACAGCCGCCAAGAAGTTTATCTGCGTTGCAGGTACTGTAGTCTGGATGTTCGGTCAAAGCTTTGCACTAATGTTTTGTCTTAGATTCCCGGAAGCTTCAGCCTCGTCTTCTTACCAAGTGGAAGTCTATTCCAATTGAAATAGCGCCTCTATCAGCTCCAACCATAAAGAGAATTCTCATAACTCTCGGCTCGCCAGATCCTGTAATTCGTCAAGGAGGCAGTGCCAAAGCAGGACCGGTCGTCACAGATAATGGCATGTGGATAATAGATGCTCCATTCCCCCCTCTGCTCTTGGTTTCTGATCTCAAACACGGAGACCATGGAGATGGAGAGCATGGTACATGGGAAGTTCATCATTTGGGTAGAAGACTGAAGAGAATCGTGGGAGTTTTAGAAGTTGGCCTGTTTCATGGTAGGAACGGGATACAGGTAAGTCGTCTTCTAAAGGTTGAAACAGTGTCTCGACTTCCGTGGAACATTCTTCAGAACCCTAAGTCCTAATATCAGGCGATGCTGACTCCGAGATTCTGACATTCAGGTTGCAAATGCTGGCGAGGAAGGAGGTGGACAACGTCCAGTGGCAGCATACTTTGGTATGGAGAATGGTGAGGTCGAGGTTAGAAATGCCAAAGAGATCGGTGGGGTGAAGTCACAACCTTGATCGGGGTGCCACCAAGTTGACCGATTTGCTACTCACAAGGGCCGAGACGCTCACTGGGCAATAGAAAGGGATAGACCTGGTTTTTGAGTATTGGGACTAACTCTTACAAACACCGAACTCCTGTCCAATCCCATACCCATCTATGAATTTACTCCATATGCCTGGCCTTATATCAAACCTCAAATACCAAGACTTCCTTGCGCCGCCAAATTGTCGAGTTTCGTTACTTCATTAAGCCCTTGTCTATATTCATAATTTTCCTCCTCATTTGCTTTATATGGTACTGAACCGACTCCTTTGAGTTCGAAGTTCCATGGCCGAGGGCAATTTTCTCGTGGGACTCGGAATTCTGACGATAATCTTCGACTGCAACGGATGTGTTTGTATTTTCGCGGTCGAAATTAAAAGGCTCTGCACTTGGAGAATCATTGTGACTATATTGGCAAGCGTCAGTCACAGTAGGGATGGTATGAATCGACTAGTACGGTACCTCGATTCCGAACCAGTTGTTGCTTCATTAGACATTTCGGCTTGAGGGAAGTAGCATCTGAAATGTGTTCGTTCGCTCTCAGGATATTACGTAGCACTCTAGATGAGATGGCTTAAGATGTTCCTATAATATTGAGTCCAAATACTTCATCATCGTCTGACGTATTTAAAGGGTTCGAAAAGTTGTCTTCATTGCACTCAACAGCACCTTAGACACGATGTGATTACACGGCAAAGCATTTCACACCCGGAAGCTACATCCCATCAGCTACTGGTTATGATTTTCCCCAACTATTCGAGGCGGTACACGAAGAAGCCATTACACAATGCACGAAGCCTCCCTGATGCTGCATTTGCCAAGGTCCTCCTTCCAATTAAGGAATATGCGGTATTAATGCCTAGTGGCCAGAAAACGGCCAGCGTGAGTTGTCAGCGAGTCGGAGAATTGCTCACCAGCCTGCATATGCCTGGCGCATATGATTGGACAATCGTGGAAACGCTCTGCAGCCCTGGAGATACACTTCTTCTAGAAGGATTTTAGAAGGAAGGATCAGACCGGGTTCTTTGCAACCTCAGCTGAAGATAAGACCAGCCACCGAATCAGGACTCAGGACTGAAACTCATACGCGTCTATGACTTGCAGTGGTTTACGTCCACACGATGTCAGCATGAAGATGGATATCACGGCACAGAAAAGTAAAGATCAGCTAGCTGTACAGGGTCGGGATTTCCTGTGTAAAGCACGCTGCCTAACTGCCTAACTACCTCTGTATGTCGTGGACTATCTCAAAAAATGTTCCACTGCCTCTGGGCCACAAGGGACTTTTCTGGCTCTGACCGGTGTCCTAGTTCTAGATAAGCCGTTTCTTCCAGTATGCTTGATGATGATAAGCGGCAAATGATATGCAGTCACTGGATTCTTAGCTTCCAGGCAGTCCGATGGAGCTCAATGATCTTACGATGCCTACCAACTTCCAAGATTCTGCTAGGTTCTTCGATGGGCTATGAGGCAGCACAGCCCCACGCTTTTATCCAAAACACTACCAAGCCGAGTGAGATACACTTGCATGACCAGTGGAAGGATCAGTCATGATCATATTCCCGTCCCGTCCCGGATGAGGAGGCATTGAGGCTCTACACCACGGACGGGACTGTAGCTAGTCATCTAGCTGCTTGGCTATATTACAAGTATACTGGAATATTTGACCGTGTGGAACATTTCCGATCGAGAACGAAAGCGTCCAAAGGGGCGGCCCACGGCTCTGGGAGGAGTATTTCGCTTTCACGTGACTGATGCGGAACTTTACTTCCCTGCGCGAAGCCGAAGCTCAGTGGACTCCTCTGCAAAGTACGAAGACACTACGAAATACTAGCAAAGCGCTGTCGAAGAGGTCAACAGTCGCTAGCATTTTCAGATACAGATAGGTGACTTTAATTTCATCCTCTCAGCCTCCCAGATCGATCGAGAGAACCTTATTCAATTTCTGGTTTTATTGGTGTTATCTTGATGATGTAGAGATACCACAGTGGCACGAACGTTGGGTCGACTTGCGGATAGAATAATGGACTATCGTTGAAGGTGTTCACGAGGTACGAACAACTTGACACTAAGCGCCAGCATTTATTCCAATGACCTGAACGCCACACTGTTAAAAACGTAATAACTTGGATAGAAAATCGTAATGCTTCAGAATTGTAAATAGCCATTAGCATATTGTACGCCTCACCTGTTTTGCTGGAAATTTACCCTTAATTTACACGCTAAAAGGTACTACCATTCGCCTTCCAATCGGCTACTACATCCATAGTCATTCATTCTGCAGCAGGAAAGCTCTCAATGGAATAATATCAAAAGTCTCTATCAATGCCTGGTCTTCAGCCACCTAATGGAAATATCTTCCTGCTACGGTATTGGTGTTCTGTATCTACATGCCCTCACTGGCGCCGGCGCAGATGCACCTTCTTCCCCTTTGCTCCAAATAAAAGGGCGCGATCGGAAGACGGATTGGTCTGAATTCAAATGTTCAATCAAAGTGCTTGGCTTGCTTAAGTAGGGTTGTATTTTAGGAGAAGCACCTAGGGAAAGACAAGAAGAGGAGTTCTACTCTAAAACCCCGGTATTTAAGTTTTAATTGCCCATTGGAGTAATGGACCATGTAATTTAAAACCAGTACAAATTTACATTTAGCAAATCCAACAGCCATCTACTTGAGCATTGTAATCCCAAAGCCCTTTCTTTAGGTAAGACGAGAAGGACTTGCCCCAATGCCCCTGGCTCAAGCGAGTACTAAGCACGCTCGCAAAAACCTTTCCAACATACGAGGAATCAGATCAGCGGGTGGAATGAGATAGATGAATTAAATTCAAGTCGAGAAGATTAAATTAACTTGACTTATAGTAACCCAACTAAGAATATATTATACTTAGACTTAATTTAACCTAACTGAAGTCGACTTAAATCGACTTAAATAAAGGTAGCGTTTTACAGATACGTTGATGCTAATAGACTTATCAAGCACATAGTTGAATTATTGGGTAGAATAATGACAATATATAGCAAGCATGATGATTGCTACTACGCCCGATGGCTTCTTGACAATATGTTAAATAACAACAATGGCTTGACTCATGTCGTGCTCCAATGCTCCAAATAATATGCACCTCTTTTTGAACCCGTCGCTCTATATGTTAGGGAGAAAATCCATGTACCTCGTTTCTATCCCAGGGACGTGATGCATAACTAGTATATTTCGACATTCAGAGACATCTGTATTAAACTCAACCCGCCAAGCCTGCCCAAATGAATCGGAAAACGGGCGTCATAGAACATAAAATTCATATGCTGATATATGTTCATGAAGTTGTCGTTGCGAAAGGTGAAAGAGGGATTGTAGCAGTCGAAGTATGCTATACAGGGGAAGAGCGTGATGAAGCGGCGAGAGGAAATGTATATAGGTGTATCGAAACCAACAGTGGGCAGGAGCTCCGAGCCACGTCCAACATCACTTTTCCAATCACACAATCTTTAGAGGATGGGCCTCATATATGCAACATGTTCCCTTCCCTTGTCAAAGGTCTCAAACCGCCACAGTGGGCTTGTCCCCCTTGCCTTCGGAGCTTTTGTTGATAAGGGCTGCGGCTCCCTATAATAACATTAGAATTACTTGTCCAAGAGAAGTAGACATCCTTTAAGTCGAAGCATTTGTCTATCACATCTGTCGACTAGGCAGCTTGGAAAACATGCTAGCTAGAGGTGAAATGCATGTCTTATGAAATGAAATATTGCAAAGACAATCATCTTTTACCAGCTTTGAAAGAAATGCATCACTCGTTCAATGACTTACGATAAGAACAAGGACTGCCATTATTGCCCCTAAGACCACGAGAATATCCATCGTACTTTGTATGTTACTGAAGACAGTGGAGGTAGTGATGTTGGGGTTCCGCTAAGAGGTGAATCGTGAAGTATTAAAAAGATTGAATTTGGAGAGTTGAAGATACCAGGAAGACAAACGAGTATAATGGAATATGAGTTGGCGGGATCAGAAGGGTTATATAAAGGAGGGCAATTGGGAGGTAGAGACCACTTATTAAGGAATTCCATCGCCCTGACCTCCATCCCTGGACAATGGACCCTCGTATCGTGAAAGGCTGCATCTCCAAGGATACTTACTTACTATGCTCTAAAGCAAATAACTATTTCTGGAAACCGCGCCTCAAGATGGAACTGTTCATTACACCAAATATGTAGAAGCTGAACCACCCCTTTGCTCAATCGAGAATGGCCATGGGTATTGGCATATGGTCTATACGAGCCCGCCTCACAATAGTTGGCTAATAAAGTGTATATGTCCATACGAACCTGCCTAACAATGATTAGCTAATGTGCATATGATATGTTCCATGCTTCGCAGCCCAATGAGGGGCGTGACTTTCCGTACGGGCCGCACTACGGAGGTATATCCTGACGGGAAATCTAGACATCAATACGCCGTATGGGGAGCCTCGAAACGGTAGCGAATCGCATCCAGTTCTATACGTTAAACCCGTTTTTACCCCTGAGCTACATATTTGCCGAGAGACATGCTCTTTATCCACGTGATGTGGTACTATCATACCTTATTATGTATGTGCCTAGGGGGTCCGTGCAGTTATGCCTTAGATATAAGGGTTACATTATCTGCGAAACTTTGGACGAGATAAGAAGTGGACTGGAGTTGAATTTGACGCGTGTTGCAGGCGTCGTCAGCTGTAACTTCACAACAACTCACTGAAAATGCGATTTGTTTTCAAGCTCAGTTCATACCTCTAGCCCGAGCTCCGACTGCAGCTTTTGACCCTCCAACACGATTCATATTGATATGGCTCGCTCGCACTGGCATATTCTTCCTCCGCTCCTTTGCTTATCACTATCGGCCCAAGCGCAAGTGCGGCCAGAGCAAGCTCCCCTCTTCCCGTCTATTGACAGCTATGGGCCGAGTATAGAGATTGCACGCGAGAATGGTCCCCAGATCTTCAATGCACTTCACTCCTCGTTGAGGCAATGGGGCTCCTCCCTCAAACACAATGGGATGAGTTACTTCCCGGCCAGTATTCCAGCAGATACGATTCTATATCATGGCGCACGCGCACAAGATCCCGTAAAGGGAATGGAATGGCTTGCATTCGAAATTGAGCACGCAGAGTTGTTTGCCAGATCAATGGGAGTGCGTCCTCCAGGTGGAGGACCCCCAGGTGGAAGACCTCCGGGAGGAAGACGGCCTGGCGTGCCAGAACGCGGCACACCTCCAGACGAAGAGGTTTCTGAGTGGAGACTTGTTCCACCATACGATGTGGACATAAACCAAGATGCTTCTGAGTCACCACATCGTGTTCCCCCACCGAACAAAGAAATGCCAGGCTACCTTCACGAGTATCGCACCAAGCGAGAGTTATCTTGTCTCTTGTACCTCGATGGAATGTCTGCAGGCAAGACATCCATGGGTACTTTGGATACGCAAGATGTTGTACTACGCAATAACACCAACTCAACTACGCCTTGGGATGACTACCAGCGCGCAAGAGATCTATGCGATCTTGGTGTTGAATGGGGGCTGGAAGGCTTTATTCGCATGGAAGGAGGATTCGAACTGATACTGTGCAACTTCACCGATGGCCTGGATTTCCTGTCGGCTAGAAAGAGACCCAAATACGATCAACCAGAAGCATACAATGAAATGTTTCAGCTTGAATACTCGAGAGGTATCGCAGCCAGATTTCAAGGCCTCCCAGCTAGTAGATTGACCATTGATCGTTCTTCAATGGTATCTGCCTTCTTCTACCCACTCAATCTTACAAATCCGGACGAACTCAGGCCTGAACTTCCCAGGCTGGTCTCCTCTGAATCTGAAGTGATCGCGCGCCTCAGATCAGATCTACGCCAAGTAATGTCGGCAGATAAATCTCTTCAGCGCAACAACATTGATTGGCAAGGAGTGGTAGATTTGATTGTTACACGGTACTCTGACCGGTTGCAATTCATGGCCTCTCAAAAGGCCACGCAAAGGGGTATCCAATCAGAAATTAACCTCCTTCTGTCGAACTTCATCGATTACAACAGCACCGTCGACGTCCGAACGGCAAAGAAGATCTGCGCTATGCATTATTTGCAATCCATATATCCAAAAACTACTCAAGATTACTTGATCTATGAAGCGGTCTTGAGCGTCTCGCGGGAAATTTGCAACACACTCTTTGAAGTAAGAGACATCATCCTTCAACCGGAGGACAGCGGTTCGTTTGGTGCAGATAATCCAAAGTCGCCAGTGAAAAAGCTGCTAAGCTATTTAGATTGGAGCACATGGCTCGAGTGTGGTAAATGTGAATACGAAGAAGTATGCTTTCTTGCTATCTGGCCTTGGGGAAGTCCGGAAGATCATTATCAGCCCAGGTGTTTAAAAAACGATGATATTTCTGGTCGGCACGGATATTGGGATTGATTTAATTTTTGGAAAACGTTCAAGCGCAAAGAATATACCCCTCCTGCTTTTCTCTCAGGCAACCGCGACCACGCCGTGACACTACACATGTGACTCACCAACTAACAGCCCTCTGCCTGCGAACAAGACGGGACAATAAAGCTGAATAGGCCTGCCTTCTTACACTAGCTTACGGAAGCACGAAAAGACCAAAATTCGCAATTTACTCTTGTCTAAGGCTAAACGACAATGTTAACTAAGAGCGCGCGAGCTAAACTTTCCAAAGAGACGATGAACAACACCATCCAAAGATATTGAACTCTAATCATCAAGCCCGCGCTGCAGTCAACAATTCAGAGCTGATCCACTACTCAACAACCCAAGACAAACGACCGTTACCAACCGATAGATCGACCTCAAAATCTACAAACATACCGGTCACTTTCAACTCCACGACCTCTTCAACCTCGAAGGATATACCAAAAATCGACGACTCGAGCTCAGCCGCCATACCTCATTATGCGAGTGATAATGGAGACACACAAGCGGGCGCATTCAAACAATTTGCACTGCTTCCCCTATCTATGCGCCCCAAAATCAGAGTAATCAAAAGCGACACCTTTGACGTCGCCCAAACCCTCCTTCCAACCCTCCCGCCACACTCCAAGTCCCTCATTGGGATCCTTCACGGTGCCCTTGCCCAATTGGAATCGCTGTGCATGCGATCAACACTCTACGCCTCCCTCCCCGAGTCCTTCTACCGCATCCCCGAAGACGCAGCCATCTACTCACCCGACATCCTCTTCCGATTTTCGCTCCTCAGCGATCTTTTTAAAAGCATCTTGGTTCTTTGTGGATGTGATCTCTTGTGCTGCGTTAAGGGACAGAGGTAGCGAGGATTTTTAAGAAGGTTATCCTGAGGGGTCGGAGACGGAAGGGCGTGGAAGGGTTTGAGAAAATTGTGTTTGCGATTTTTGATGAGGGGGAGAATTTGAGTGTTTTCAGGGAAGTTTTTGCGGATGTCATTGAGGAGTGAAATGAAATTTAACAAATCAGCAAAAATTTGTAATTCCGCACTAGATATTTTAATGCTGTATGGCGATGTGCACTCACAGGTCTGATGAATGCCGGACTGAGATAGCAAAAGGGGGAGGGGAGGGGTGGTTCAAGATTAAAGCGACCACTTAGGAACTGCGAATATCAGAACTAGTAGAGGAAATGGAACAGTTCTAAACATGCTTCATTTTCTCATGTTGGTATCAGTAGACACTTGGATTCTTGAAAACCGACCAAAATCTCGACTTTTCTATGTCACGGTTTTGTGTTGGAGCGAAAAACCGTGCTAAATCTCAGACCTCTCAATCGCCTAAGACACCTTAGGCGATCCAGTTGTGCGACGTGCAACAAACTGAGCTGATTGCCTGATTTGGAGGATCACGTGAACCGAGAGAAACAATTTTGCTATTCATTGATTGCATAGGAGTAATTGATGCCATTGTGCTTTGGTGTATCCTTAATCAGGTTGATAGTGAACAATCAAAGCCGTTCATGCCCGGGGATTCATTATGGTATAAACAGTTGGTGCTGATGTTTGTGACCTCGGCAGGATTAAGTTATGCGGGGTCTCGTTTAATACAAATCGGCTAGTTAAGTCCTCTTCTCCTCGTAACGTCGTCCAAGTTCCAAATTATTCTTAATCATTAACACCAACTTGATCTCCAACAATGGCTTCTACTCTCCAAAGCCAGGCCCCAAAGCCCTCTTCATTCATCCTCTCCTACCCTACGCCCTCCATTCTCCTCATAACCATCAACCGACCTCAGCAGATGAACTCGATTCCCTCTGCCGCTCACTGGGAAGCTGATGCTATCATCCAATGGTTCGACAATGAGCCCTCACTCCGTGTAGCAATCATCACCGGCGCAGGAAGCAAAGCTTTCTGCGCAGGCCAAGACCTCATTGAACAGGCGATATTCAGGAAAAACCCGCCTCCAGCGTCCGCACGCCGTCACCCACCGACTGGCTTCGCCGGGATCAGTAAAAGGGTTGGTAAGAAGCCTGTCATCGCTGCAGTAAATGGCTTCGCCCTTGGTGGTGGCTTTGAAATCTGTTTAAACTGGTAGGTTTCTCGACGGGACCACGTGACTGATATTGACCAGGAATAGTGATTTAGTGGTAGCATCTCCTACGGCTTCGTTTGGCTTGCCTGAAGCCACAGTTGGACTATATGCTTCAGCTGGTGGTCTCCCACGCGTAGTAAGGAACTGTGGGATGCAAGTGGCGTCCGAGATAGCGCTGACGGGCCGTCGGCTCACTCCGGAAGAAGCGCTGAAACACAACCTCATAAACAAGATTTCTAAGACTCAAGAAAGTGTTATTGATGAGAGTATCGAGATGGCAAAGAAGATTACTATGTTGAGCCCTGATGCGGTGATTGTGACAAGGGCGGGATTGAGAGAGACATGGGAGACGGCAAGTGTCGAGCGTGGCGCGCAGATTATCAGCGACAGGTTTGACCGCCACCTTTTTGAGGGGGAGAACATGAAAATTGGGGTGGAGGCTTTTGCCGCAAAGAAAAAACCACAATGGGTGCCTAGCAAGCTTTGAAAGTTGAGCGAAGAGAAACATTGCGGACGGGAAGGATTCGGATCAAGGCGTATTCAACAATACCAGGAAACCAGGAAAGAGCCTTAGTCTATAAACAACAAGGTTGAAACTTGATTATGTTGAATCGTGAATCTGTTGACTGTAGTAGTAATGATAATAACAAGTCGTTCTAATGAAATGTCTCGCAGGCTTTTAGAAGTTTACACTGGAACGGAACGGCTCGACTCGCAACTTTCGACCAATGACACTAAATTCACGTGAAACAACAGCCAAGCTAAGGCAACCACGAGACTTCTCCCTTCTTAATGTCCATCTACCAACCCATCGAACCTCATCGGAGACATCACACTTACTTCCATGGAGCCTTAAATGGATGATCTAGACAAGATGGCCGCGGGACTAGGCGTTTCGGAAGTATATTTGGAAAATCAGGGATTGCCGACTACCACTTCGGGACCTGCACCTGCTTCCTGCCGCCTTCCAGCACCCATTCCTGTCCAGTCCTGTCCCTTCTGCCTAGGCAGAGGATAAAGCGGTAGCTGCGCCGTAGGATTGAGTCACAGTTCGTTCACTATGACCCCAAAATCCCTGCTTTCAGTTCATCTGTTGCGGAGATCCTTGCACCCACTTACTATATATACCCCCAAGCTCTGCCCCTTTCTCAGTTCCTTTTCGTTCTTCAACTGAGGTGTACCGTCTCCTCAACACGTGATACTCAAATCATCAGATACCAAGCACCACTCACCAAGCACCATGTCTTCTGTCTTCTCTTCAACCTTGCAAGACATCACCACCACCAAGCTATCAGAGCTGTCAAGAAGACGAACCATCTTCGAAGACCAGAAGTCCTCCCTTCTTACCTCTGCCCAACTTCAATCTGACCAGAAGAAGAGGCTTGCTATCCTAGTGGAGGCTCTGAAACAATGCTTCGCGGTCAAGACAGCAAAACGCAAGAGAGGAGATAGACGTGGAGGAGCCGGGCGTATCATCAGCGGAAGCACCGATGACCCTCGTCTCGAGGTCATGCTCAAGAACTTCGAACGCTTTCTCGAACAGGCCAGATACGATCCGTCCATTTCGCCAAAGCTTCTAGGAGATTGGGAGCAGTCTCTCATGAAACGACTTGATGTCCAGTCCTTGAAGTACCAGTATGCGACTCTATATGGCCAGCTCGTGACGGAGTGGCTTTCTGCCGAGAAGCAGGAGTCTGCTGCCGATACTTCGTCCGATGATGCCATAGAAGGATCCGAGGAGGTCAATATGGCGGCTAGAGATGCGTCACGTGTAGAATGGGAGGAGCTTGTCTTCGAGCCTTATCAAACGGACGAAGCGGCAATTTCCGAGTATCTGCGCCACCTGTTTGGGGAAAACGGAAAGGACAAGCAAGCTGCCAAAGCGCTCGAGGCTCTTCGAAAAGAAGTCGAAGCCTTTGAGAGTCAGCTTTCCTCTCCTGGTCAGTTCAACGAGCCGGTGCTTCGCTGGACAATAAAGGGTCTTCTGAACTCGAACCTTCTCTCCGAAGAAAAGAATGCTGTTTTGAAAGATTTCCTCGCAAGCTCTGTAATTCTCAGGTACGTTGATGATCAATTTATCAGCCAATTTGTATTTATTTTAAAGATCTAACTTGCGATTGTTGACTTTGATTGGCCTATTTGCCCCCAAGACTCCCCATAAAACATATACTGACACCACCATATGACCAGAGAGGTGGCCGATGTATTGAACATGCGCATCGCTACCTTCCACACGTGGTCTTGGGAGACTGAGGTGCCTATTGAGCAACGTCGACATGTGACCGGTGCGTTTCATATGTACATTGATGAGGACCTCCTCCAAGCAATATTCTTGCAGTTCATTGGAGTGAAGTGGTCGGTGTTCTTTAGGCAAGCGTTTATGAACTTTTCCAATTATGATGGAGCATGGACTTCCTTGCGCCAACCAATTTCAAGACTGGACAAAAAGAGAAGAGAATACTTTCTTGGACCCCAGGCCATGAAGCCAAGCATCCAAAGCAAGCGCCAGGGACTTTACAAGTCCATTTTCTTTATGTCTCAACTACCTCAATCAGAATATTCGACCACCCAGGAGGTGGATGGTGAAGAAGAAGTCGTGATCAGGGGTCCGGGAGGAGCAGGAGGACGCACAAAACAAACAGCCAGAAAGTCAACCGGAGGTAAAGCTCCACGGAAGCAGATGATGGCTCCAATGCAAGTGCCTGGCGCGCTAAGAGCTCGAAAGGTGGCACCCTCTCCCTTGAGCATCAATGACGAATATGACATGGAACTCGAAGACGACATACCCCAATCATCGATGGCTACCAAGCAGTTTTTGTTGCACCTTGTTTCGACAGAGATTCTAGTCAACACCCGGTTATACGGAGATTTTACATGCGCACGCTCCGAATTTGATGACTGGAGTCCTTCGCTGCCCCACTCCACTGTTAGGGCAGTGCTCTCATTCTATGGACTGTCGAAGAAATGGCTCGGCTTTTTTCAAACATTCATGGAAGCACCTCTCAAATTTACCGAGGGTGGTTCGTCAGCTGAGACGCGAGTACGAAAGAGAGGCGTCCCGGGTGCACATGCGCTATCCGCAGTCTGTGGCGAGGCAGTGTTGTTTTGCCTGGACTATTCGGTGAACCAGCAAACCGACGGAGCCCAACTGTATAGAATGCACGATGATTTTTGGGTCTGGTCGTCTTCTCATAAGACTGTTGTTAAAGCTTGGGAAGCTATCACAAGCAAGTAACCTTCTCTATAACTCCTACTTCCGATATCTCAGGGGTATTGTATAGCTCACTACTGAACTCTTTTCCTAACTTCTATGGAATTCTTCTCCCACTCCCAAAATCTGCTATATTAGGCAATGCTGACTTTGAGGTCTTGACGTATAGCATTCTCAGACATCATGGGCGTATCATTGAATGAGGCTAAGACAGGAACTGTGCGGGTGCAGCGAGAGCGAGAAGGACTGAAGCCTACCGATCCATCACTACCCGTTGGAGACATTAGATGGGGTTTTCTAAAGCTTGATTCAAGTACCGGACGCTTTATCATCGACCAAGAAATGGTGGATAAGCACATCGACGACCTGAGAACCCAGCTGGAAGACAAGAAAACAAGCGTATTTTCTTGGATACAGGCCTGGAACACCTATGCCGGGACATTCTTCAAGAGCAATTTTGGGAAGCCTGCCAACTGCTTCGGACGAGAGCATGTTGATATGATGCTTTCAGCTATGAATCGAATCCAGACCCGTATATTCTCTGACAGCAATGTGGTCGACTTCTTAAAGAAAACCCTCGAGAAGCGCTTCGGAATTTCAGATATCCCTGACGGGTATCTCTACTTCCCCACTGGCCTCGGTGGACTTGAACTTCAGGTAGGCTTGTTCTTATAATAAAATGATCTCCTTCGTAGGAACTGGAAACTGGTTCAGGAGCCATTATGCAAGCTCCCGAGACAGCTCTTAAGCTTCACGGTTCTCTCCAAAAAATTCACCTTGTCATTATGCTAACATGGTAATTAGAACCCATTTATCGGAATCCTCCAAGTCCGCGATGCAGTCTTTGAACAGCCAGCTAGCACTATCGATGAATTTATAGAAGCAGAAGTGGATGCCTACCGCTGCGCGAAAATTGACTTCGATAAAGGGATGATCGATCATGATGACACCAACGACCCAGACTTTGTCCCTAATGATCCAGACACTTTTATGTCATTTGAAGAATTCGCTCGATTCCGGGAGGAGTTTGAGTGCGACTATGAAGGTAATTTGGCTGGTGTCTTTTTGGAGCTCCTTGAGCAGCCCGGACCGGAGTTATTAGATGTAAATCCGAATGATGTGACGACTCTGAGCACCTCCCAGAGCTTTGAAAATATGGATGCTGGTTATATGCGATGGGTTGCTCAACTTTATGGTCCTGATATGACGGATAGATTTGGTGGTAAGCAACTTCTCCGATAATCATGTTTCTTTGTTCGGATGCATTCGGGTTTAATTTCCAATGTCTCATGAGTTCTGGGACATTCAAAGCACTATCGAGCTCCCTAATCCATCTTGATAAGGCAATACTAACACCGTAATTTGCAGGTCTTAATATCGTGGATGCCGGACTGCTGCCTATTGGCATGGTAAATTTGTTCAGAAGTGGACGAGTGAAGTGGCAAGGTTGAGCAGCCTTAGGGCGCGAGGCGTGCTAGGGAAGATATGAAATTCATTCATTACTCGAGCCTCATCTTCTACCTGTTGAGGCACTGGAGTTTATCACTTACCGGATATCTTGGATCCTATGTTGCTTTCTGCCTCTGAGGGAAAATATAATATATCGAAGCAATTTTGTAACTGATACTATATCAGATCTAATAATCCCGGGTCTATAAGTATAATCATGACTCTTAACAAATTGTCTGGGTTTCCGTGGGAGTTTGAGATCTCTTAATCGTAGTTGAAATACCGAAAGTGTTTCCCCCTTTTCATGGCGCCTTAGAACTGAGTGAGCCGGTTGCGCGTGCTGAATATATTGTGCAACGTTACTTTCCCTTCTTCCGAACTACTTTCCTGTAAACTTCGAATAGCACGCAACCGACAATTTGAAGGCGGATACACGTTTGGTCCGGGAAGACATTCTGCTATGAACGAGATGCTAAAACTCAAGAGTGAGGTTGTGGAAGATCATTCAGAGCGGAATAGCATGCCAGAGCCGGGGTTTGAAGAAAATCGAGCATCTATTTCCTGGTGGGCCATTTGTTATCAGAATAAGGAAATATATCATCAACCTGAACCTCTGTGGAATATTATTCAATTCTGTATGTCTCATCCAAATGAAAGCACATCCTAAAGCCTTGCAGGGCAAGACTAACCCCAACTTTCGCAATATCGCATCCCAAAGCGGAACCCATCATCGCAAGTTCATAACCCAGCCGCGGACCCGATTCTTGCGCGCAACATCTTTCAAAGCCTCCGCTACCCTGCACGCAACCATCCAAGTGCCTTCTGCGGCGAAGAAAGTAGCCACACAACCAGTATCATCTATCTTGTTCTTGCCCCCAAGCTGCACCGCCCTTTTCTGGCCGTGGAAGCTCAATCCTCTCAACACCAATTCCAAGGGCCAAAGATCCAGCCCTGTTCTTAGAGCGGAGGCTGCAAGGGCTCTGCCAATCGAGGTGCCGACCTCTTTGGCTTCCATGGGCGAGGAAGTCGATGCTGCCCAGAATGCGAGAGCTTCTGCGATCCTGACATTGTTTTGTCGATTGGCGGATGGTTTGAGGCGGGGTGTGCCTTCTTGTATGCCCTTGGCAGGTCAGTGGCTAGTATGGATAGTAAATGATTGCCTCTGGGGGTTTTGCGTTGTGCTTACCGTATTGAGTATCAGGACGAGGAAGTCGTCGATGCTTTCTTGGGATGCCATTGCAGTTTCTCGAGTCTGTTTGGTTTATAACCCATGTTTAATGAAGATGTTTAATAGAATGAGTGTTTGGACAAATGCAATGCTAGGTGTAATTCACTAACTCGAGTTGAGTCTTCATAGCCGGCATTCACAGGACATCTCGTCTCTAAAAGCACATTTACAGTACTCTTGATGATCTCCAGCCTCAGCTCCTCAACATCACCAATTATCTTTTGGCTTGCAGATGTGGCCTTGCTGGGCTCATCACTTGGTGAATGCCTCCTTGCTACCTTTGTTGAAAATACGGGACGGACCTCAAGCCCATTGAATCTTGACTGGGGATGTTGCAGGGACATATATTGGGCTAATGGAGGTTTTCTGATTGCTGAATGGTGTTGTTTGGACTATACTGTGAAAGCTATCTACTTCATATAAATATGCTTTCCCTTTACCACAGTTTAAACTTGTTCGCAGGAGAAAGTATAAATCTCCAGTGTACGCTCGTTAAATTGACCTTCATGCAGTGGAGTGGGTGGCTCTGCTCTCTCCAGGGGAGAAGTGGCGAGATGCACCTTCTCGAATTCGGCTCGGAGGCACTCCTTCCGTTCCCAAACTGCAACAGCATATGCTTGAATCGTGGCACTCTCTCATGTTCAACCATCATATGAGCTGGGAACTCTTTACTCCTCTACTGTCTCCTATTCCAAAAGCCCATGGCCACCGAGTCTCACCATGTCTGAAGAGAGAGCAAAAGTTTCAATAGCGTCAGGCTGGGAATGGAAGCTTGCACATAAAAACAGTATCAAACGAGTCCCCTTAGATCCCAAGCTTCTGCAGTGGGCGCCAGCAAGTCAGTTCCCGTCCGTGATCCAACTTGAACTTCTTCATACTGGCCAGATTACGGATCCAAATGTTGGTGAAAATGAGCGGGACAGCCAATGGGTTGGGGAATGTGATTGGGAATACCGTTGCAGCTTCCCAACGCCTGCTGGAGTATCTCGGTACTCAGCTACTGAAATTGTCTTCGAAGGATTGGATACGTTTGCGACTGTAACTTTGAATGGGAAGGAGATTTTGAAATCCGATAACATGTATCTTCCAGCGAGGGTTGATGCAAAGAACTCACTAAAGGATCCAACCTGTGACGGAGAAAATGAGATTGTCATCTTGTTTGAAAGTGCTTTGAAGAAGGGCACGGAATTAGAGAAGCAGTTCGGAGTGAAACAAAGTTTGATGAGGGATACAAGACGTATGCACATGCGAAAGGCTCAGGCAAGTGATCACAATGTTGACCCATTTCTCTGCTGACAGGTGTAGTATCATTGGGGTTGGTAAGTTTAACAGAAAGGAATAATCACCTTATCTAGACTTATTCACGCTGTTCATGCAGCCTGAATTATGGATCTCCTTTTGGTCTCAGATACCACAGGTCCCATGGCGCTGTCAAGAAAGCAATGCTAACTCACCAGTAGGGACTGGGGTCCTAATCTTGTCACTTGCGGACCGTATCTTCCGGTATATCTCGAGCTATATGCTTCCCGCATTGAGAATGTCCATGTTTTCACCAGTTCACTGAAAGCAGTCGATGATAATGACTATGCTGCACAGATCCGGGTGAAAGTGCAAACATCTGGTTCGGCTGCGGAATTGCCAGCGAATTACAGTATTGAGGTAGAGATAACGGACAAATCAGGTCAACATGTTGCTCGTCTTTCAGGAGCTGATGTCTCGTTAGACCTTGCAAAACCCAAGCTTTGGTGGCCAAATGGCCAGGGAGCCCAATGTCTTTACACTGCTAAAGTTACGTTGAGAGACAACTCCTCAACGATATTAGATTCCTCCTTCACAAGATTTGGCATCCGGACAATTACTCTGATTCAGAGGCCTCTCGACAATGAGCCAGGCAAGACGTTCATGTTTAATGTGAACGGGCGCAACATTTTTATCCAAGGAGGCGATTGGATTCCGGCAGACAATCTGCTTCCAAGTCTAACCCGAGAACGCTACTTTAACTGGATAAGGCTTGCAAAACGGGCCAATATGAATATGATTCGAGTATGGGGAGGCGGTATCTACGAAACAGAAGACTTTCTGGATGCCTGTGACGAGTTGGGACTTTTGGTTTGGCATGACTACGCGTTTGCTTGTGGGGACTTTCCTGTTCATCAGGATTTCTTAGACAGTATCAGGAAGGAAGTAGAGGTTCAAACTCTAAGATTGAGGGGTAGGGCTTGTTTGGCACTCATATGTGGTGGAAATGAGGACTTCATGTTAGCAGACACCGATGGAGAGGTATTCGAGGGAACATTTCTGCGCAAGTAAGTGAACTTTAAAACAATCATTAGACAACTGCGATTATTAACTTCTGTAGGAAAATATACGACCACGAGGATGTCGTTGGACCATTCAAGAATACTGACTTCCCTCAACGAGAAATCTATCTTGAAATTATTCCTGATGCAGCAAGGAGGTTCTGTCCAGAGGTTCAGTACTGGCCGAACTCTCCTTGGGGAGGTGTAGAGGAAGCAAATGATCCAACAATAGGAGACATTCATCAGTGGGATGGTGAGAACCCAGAAACCTTTCCTACGACCATGACTAATAGATGTTTCCAGTTTGGCATGGTAAGGGGAGATCCTATCAAGATTATGGAAAGCTCTCAGGACGCTTTGTTTCGGAATTCGGAATGCATGGATTCCCTGATATGAGGACTGTCTATGAATTTGCACCCCGCCCTGAAGATCGACATCCACAATCTCGAGCAATCGATTGCCACAACAAAGGCCACGGTGCGGAGACTAGGATTGCACGTTATCTCGCAGAGAATTTCCGATATAGCCAAAAGCTAGAGGATTTTGTCTATGTGAGCCAGCTTACGCAAAGTGAGGCTTATGGGTACGCTTTGCGGGATTGGAAGAGGAAGTTTGGAGGGAAAGGGAAAGAAAGCTGTGCTGGTTTGATTATCTGGCAGGTAAGATCAGTATTCAGACTTCATCAAAAAGGGGATGAAAACAAGTCGCTGATACGAACTACTGTAGTTCAATGATGTTTACCCGTGCACGAGTTGGTCGTTCGTAGATTACTACCTCCGACCAAAACCCGCTTATTACACCATTCGACGAACTTTCGCCGAAGTAACCATTGGTATCGAACGCACCCCTCGATCACTATGGGTTGATGATGATCGTCCAAGAGACACGGATATTCCATCTTTCTCCATTTTTGCGCATAATACGACCATGGAGGTGAAGAAGTATGAGCTGGTCCTCACGGCGTATGACCTGCTCACCGGAAGTTATATTTCGTATCCAACCGAAAGTCAATCAGTGTTCCTCCTGCCAAACCAGAACACTGAACTTGGAATGGTTAAAAACCCAGACACTCTCACGGAAGAGTCTCTAATCATTCTATACGCAAAGCTGGTTGACACTTCCACCGAGGGGGCTAGCAAAGTTGCGGCCAGGTATGTGAACTGGCCAGAACCATTTAAATACCTTCAATGGCACAAAGACACTAAAGTCATTATGGAGGTGCTTGATGCAGAGAATGGCTCCGAGTGGGAGAATGTGGTTAGACTGACGGCAAGCCATCCCGTGAAGGGCTGTCTGCTATATATTGACTACGATGACGGCGAGGATGCTACTTGGCAGGATAACATGTTAGATCTCATGGCGGCAGAATCTATTGATGTAAACGTGAAGGGACTAGGCGGAAGAAACATCAAGACTAGGTTTCTGAATGATTGGGAGTTGAGTAACGACAAGATCTAGAGCCATCACTGCCACACTTGCGTTGATAGATGTGGTCCTGAAATACATTAAGTTTGGTCCGAACAATGACTTTAAATCTATCCTCTGTGAAAGAAAAACCTAACCAGAGATGGTTTAGTTGAACATTTGTCGACGCAGTATACGTGTTTAAGCGTTTTATAATCCGGGGTCAAGACTCAAGAAGTCTGCGTCCTATTATTCACCACAGAGAAAACTAAACAGCCGAATTAATTCAAACGTGAGACACAAAAAGGAACAGTAATTATGCTTGAATGAAATATATATTGAAGTTGAACCTGCTAGAGAGCGTAAGACTTAAAGGAGGCAGCAGTGCGATTATTTTCCAAAGAGGCTGGCGGGGGGCTCGTTGGAAACATGAGAATAGGGCTGCGCAGTGCTACGCCAGAAAAGAAAGCCGACATCAGTTGAACAGCTAATTGTGGCATAATTGACATCCATTTTGTAAGCATAATATCAAATATGATACCTAGGTCGCCTATCAACAAAGGATACGAGAAAAGATTGTATAGAAAGAAGCCGAAAACGCCGAGGTACAAGTAGACCTCTTTAAGCCATCTACTACTGTCTACTTTTACTGACTAACTCTGAAATTGGCCAATGAAATCGGTGGTGGTCTATCGAGCAATATGTCTGTGTTGGCAAGTAGCAAACGACTCATACCTTTTGCATACCGACTTTCTTTGCCTTCCACTATAACATTGTCAGCATCTCTGTATCTTCTTCAGGGTGTTCTTACATCGAAAGCCACCCGCACATCTCTGAATAATGGCTCTCCAATAATCCATACACCCTACCCACCCCCCAAGTCAGTCTCGTGATCTTTCTGTTTCATAGAAACTTCGACACCCATCCTTGACTCAACAATTTTCCCAATACAGTATCCACTACCTGTTTCTAATCGCCCTAAACTGAACCTCCCCCCTAGAGCAGAGCTCGCTTTATACTTCCTTCCTTTCATTACCTCCACATGACAGCTTGCAAATTCGAGGTGAATTTGAGGGGGACTGAGACATGGGTAAGAGTGGAATTGATCCTGAGGTGGCGGTAGTTGTCTGCTTCCCGCAACGAAAGAGTAGAAGGAGCGTGCAGCTGTTGGTGGAGCTAGAATGAAGGGTGTGTTGACCTGTAGAAATGAGAAGCTGAGCAACGGAAACAGAATCATTACTCACATCTAGAACGACTGGCTGGTTTTGCAATATCTTGACCCCATCTACCCAGATTCCTTGCATTAGGATCTGCCACCAGCCATCTGAGCCCTGCACCTTGACCCATTTCCACTCTTTGCTTGAATCGACTGTTTTGTATGACTCTCTAGGTGCTTCATTCCGTTCCGTGTCCTCATGGCCCTCCAAAGGAGGCATCGAATATTCGGTGTCTCTTTTAACTTCCCCTAAGGAGGCGACAGATGTTCCCCCATGCTGAAAAGCCCTTCCTCCCGATTCAGAAGCACAAGAGACCATATGGGTGTATCGATCAGCTCTTTGTCCATCAACTGTGTCATCAGGGAAACCGTCTTGAGCTGACTGAGCGACGTGGAGGGTGCCAGGCCAAGGTATGCTCCAGACGGAAGCAAGGTGCGTAACCACTGGTGTGCTGGTCTACAATGGGCGAAGGAGATGTGTATTGATCGTTGAAATGTAGGGAGGTGCAGAATATCGGTAGGCGCACGGCAAGTAGGGAACGACAACGACGAGTCTGAATCGACTATTTACGGTTAGCTGAGCCTCGAAGGAGATACCAGAAGGGCGCCGAACTATACGTCTTGCTGTTAAAGTCTAGGAAGAAGGAGCCTTTATCGCTGCTTGTAGAGAAGATCCATCAATCCGCTGTCAACATATCCAGATCCATGTCAACATGCTGTGGAGGGTCTCCTATGCGTAAATTGGCGAACCAGTTCCCTTCTCTTCCTACTTCGCCCAAGAGAACGGTATTGGCTTGCGTGCCATGCTTGTGTTTTGGCTTTCGGACGACCTGGTTGCCACTAAAGCCGCGTGTCGTAGCTGTAAAGCGCGTCTCGATGATCTGTAGTTGCTCCAAGAGATACGTTAGATTTGCTGTATCTGCTGTATCTGCTGTTGGGAAGCTTCCTCCACGTCGTGAAATAGGGTAATGAATTGGCTCAAGAGCTGCAGCAACTGAAATTGCAAATGGCAGCAAGGAAATCAGCGGGAGATGATTGGGATACATGGCAATCTCACACCTGGTTAAATAGATCTAGGGAGGTAGAGGAGAAGATGAGAGGGAAAGATTGGGTGGGTGTTATCAAGGGCATCGTTCTTAGGACGGGCGCGAGCAACGTCAGGTGGAAGGTGCGACCGTACAACCTACAATGCCGTCGAGATAGGAGAACTTGCTCTTCCTGAATCACCAGTTCAGATTGTGACGAACCCGAGGGCTGACTTCAGCACAAAGGACCTACATTGGAGCCAAGTGTTGGTGCGATGACCCTGATGCTCTAGTTTCGATGGTTTCATAGTCTTCGTGTAGCGCTGGAAGGTTTTGTGGAAAAGTTTACATAAAAATACCACCAACAAATGCAATGGTCATTATTTCTGTTTCCTTTTGCCTCTGCATGCCCCTGGCGAAACATATCCGGCCCTATTATCACTACACCCAAAAATAAATCCAAGCCGAATCACACCATATGAACTGGGAAAAGACGGAGGGTATTATACATGAAAAGGCATGAGTTTTGAAAATTCGTCACTCGTGAAGCAAGTACTTTTTCATCTCCTCCGGACTGTACCAGTTATGCAATCCAAAACCTAGCAGTAATTAGCAATTGTCTACGGAGGGTGTCTTATTATAGACTTACTCCTTCTGCAATTACACCTTGATTCACAAGATGCTTGCTAATACCTTTCACCAGCTCCATCTGCTCATCAGGGGTAAGGCCTATGATGGCTGTATGAATGACACCTCCAAGTGACACTTTGTACAACGCGATGAAGCTGTGATAGTACATATAGGCAAAGAATCCCATGATAAATTGACAATCCATGCGGTCGGTAATACCACCGTGCCCAGGAATAGAATCGCCGAAATCTTTGATCTTGAAAGTGCGCTTGAGACCAGATGCGAAAAAACCACCGAATGGGGCGATAAGGGAGGCGAAAGTTGCGAATATTAGGATGTGAATTTGTATAGGCGCCATCATGAATGATTTAAAATAGGGAAACCAGATTGGCAGGTGGTAGACATGAGGAGAGAAAACTGGGTTGGGCGTACACTCAAGACCGGTCCAGATATTTGCACCAAGGTCCTGGAAGAGTTAGCAAGGGGGCTATAGAAATGTAGAATATTTCTTACGTTGACAGGGCAGATGAAGTACTTGTAACGCATGAGCACATTAGTCATACCAATTCCAAAGATGACGGTGAAAATCCAAGCTCCGACGAAACCTTCAACAGTCTTCTTTGGCGAGAGCTTGATTAGCTGGGTTTTTCCAACTGTGATTCCAACAATGTATGCGAAGATGTCGTTGCATATAACCAGAGAAACGGGCAGGAAGAACCAGATCATTCCTTCAAACACGTTATTCATGATGAAATGTGCCTGTACTACAATGAGGTATAGCGCCATGTGTGTCCATGCGAACTGTGTAAATTGAAATCGGTAATGCCCAGCTTCCAGAGATGCGACGAAGAAGACGAAACCTGTAGCAGTCAGCATGTTGGACTTTCACCAGTCTCCCTGATTTCTTACCAATAACATAGAGCATGAAGCTGATAAATCGATGATGAGTCGCAAAAGGTAGGAGGACCTTGTCCACCAGCACAATATGTTTGAAGTAATAAATAACGCTCTCGCCGTAGAGGAAGTACATGGTGGTTGCCAGCCAATACCAATTCAAAGCCTTGGTAAAGCGTAGTCGCCGTGCTCGACTGGGGACATTGGCTATGGCAATAACCTCCTTGAACGACACGATTTGTAGGGCGGTGATGATCATGATAATGTAGACATGCCCCATGAACATAGCACCGAAGAAGCCGCCGATCATGATCAAGGTCCATAGAGTTCGCGTGATGAAGGTCTGCTTTTTCTTTTCGTATTCCGATGGTGGCTGCGCCTTGGATGAACGGATCAGCCAGAACTCTGTACTCTAATACTGAATGCTTTGGATACTTACATCTGTTACGCCATCGATACCTCCCGGTCTCGTGGGGGAGCCTGGTTCTGAGGTGCCCTCGCTGATATCCGAGAAACTGCTCCTCCGCCCATCCGCGCCTGATGTGTGTCCATTTCGGTGGTTGAACTTGACACCACGACGTTGCTTTGCCATCTTGAGAGCGTGCTATCTAGTCGCAGAGGGGAATCCGGGAATCCCTTTCCTTCCGCTGGGTCTGCGCTGTTGTGCAGAGGTTGAAATGGCCAAGACCGGGCGAGAATGTCGGTAGCGTAGTAACCTCAACGCGCAGACATGGAGGGGGTAAGTGAGCGTGAGGTAATGGGAGCGGGCGCGGGAGAAGGTGGTAGAAGGTAAATTTAAATTTACAAAGAAAAGTGAGTTGTCGTTCAAGATCCGGGGTTTAGGCCAGTACCAACAAACAGAGTGAGTGGGTGGTGGTGGTGGTGGTTTTGTGAAAAGGCTTGGCGTGGTTTGCCTTGGAGTCTTGGCTGTTTTCGCTGACGTACCGTACTGTACCGTACTATACTTCGAAGGAAACTCTGGATGAAAGGAAAGGAACTGTTTGAGATAACTTATTTTATTATTAACGATTTGCTACGTGTTTCTTTGAGACTACCTGTTCTATCTGATATAGCTCTGATATAGCTCTAGCTCGGAACGCGACCTTTTATCTCGTTTTTGGTTGATCCACGGAGTATTCGTACCGAGTATTTCTCATCGCCCCCAAAATTCAAAGGCAATCGGTAAGGCTTTTGTCCGCCTTCCGAATACTCAAACTCACTCCGAAGGCGGTGACAGATGAAAAGTGGCAGAATCGCGTCTCCCGCACCGCAGTCTATGTTTTGAACCGGAACCCTTGCAAGTAGATGCGATACAATCCATGCCTTTAACACAGACTCACTTCCAGCTTTACGATACAGTGCAATGCGGCGGCGTGTCTTTGACTCAATGAAGACACTTGAGCATGTCGGATCACGACTTCGGCTTCTCCGATGATGAATTGGATTCTCTCCCCGTCGATGCCTTCGTTGAGCTCGAGACCAATGCCATCCAGTTCACCCAGGTCCACACCCAGACCCGATACTCCAAGACTGCAGCTGCGGTGAAAGCCGCCCCATCGTCAGACTATGGGGATGAAATAGGGGAGGAGGATTTGGACGATGCCGTTATAATTGACGAGTCCAGGAGTACTCCTGCAATCATCCAAGGCCTTCAACGAAGCGTACCTTCACAAGCAGTACAACGAGAACACTTCCGGCAGCAACGTTACGGCACAATCGCCAATCCCCAACCACATCTGGCAGACAGGCGGGGGAGTCGTCCCACCCCGCCCCCGCCGCCTAGGTTCAGCCAAACAAATCAGCTCCCTCAACGGGCTCAGATTCCTCAACATGATTCCATGAGAGCGGAGCATGGCAGTCAGCCTTCAGTCACAGGGGACAATGCTGCAGATAAGATGCGGAGGCAATTTCAAGAAGTGAGTGTTTGTACTATCTTATCTCAGCCATACTAACGGTATGAAGCTGTTGAAGGAACGGGATGCTCTAAAGTCCGAGGTCAATGCCAAGTCAGGCGAAATAGCTATTGTGAGGAGTAAAAACGACCAGGTTGTCAAGGAAGCCCAGCGCAAGGAAGAAGCCCTTAACAAGCTCCATGCAGATAAAGAAGCGAAATGGAAAAGGGAGATCGAGTCCACCCGAATTGCAGAGAAGAATGCGGCCACCGAGAGGGACTTTGTGAAGCAGGATCTAGCAGAGGAGGCCGAACGAGTCCGAAGATTGAGAAGAGCCCAGGAAGCTGAGAAGGGCGCAAGTGTCACAACCCCCAAGAAAAAGAAGCCGCTTCCACATCGAGATGGCTTTGATGACGACGAAGTCGAGATGCTCTCACCGTCCAAAATTTCTCCCTCGAGATTTCAAAGACGACTTGCAGGATCTCCCAGTAAGCCAGGCGCCAAACGAAAGCGCAAGACGGTAGAAAGTCCCGTTGGTGCTTTAGAGGTGACGAACGCGGAGGAGCCAGTTGTGGAGAAGCCTTTGCACCAGGATTTGATATTAGACGATTCCATCATTGAAAGCCTAGGAAAGCAGGATGATCGGTTTGATGTAAGTCCTTCTATACAGACTCATTCGGTAGAGAACTGATCAGTTAGTTCATTGGAACAATGCTTGACCACCGAGTCAGCCTAGATCATGCCCGAACAATACAAGAACTGGAGAAATATGCGTTGCCATCTTCCCCTGACGAATCATTCCAATCCATCTTATTAGGCAAGATACCGACTTTAGGGTCTAAAAGGCCCCAAAAAGATCTCCCAGTCGACTTTTGCGAGCTTCTCATATCTATGTGGTCAAACTGTGTAGCAGAGAAATACGTACGTTGACTTCGATTCAGCGATCCACTCTGACTCTTTCCCAGTATACTCCAATATACCTTTTTATAGACATGTTAACGCTGGCTCTGGAACTGAAGACCACTGCTGTTGGCCCACACATTACAGACACGATCGTTCCCCTTGCCCAGCTTACCGCAGATATCATAATCATACCTCGCTTCCAAACAAAACCAACAAACGGTCACGAGAAGGATATCAATGTAAGTGCATGTCTAGCTATCCTCCACATCGTAGCCCTTGGCTGCATGTCTGAACAGCAACACATCATCCGATTTTGGAAACTGATGCGCTTCGACTTCGTCCTCGTCATGCTCAGTACTAATCACCCGATACCGGAATTCGAAATGATGCTTCGAATACTATCCACTAGCGTTTTTCGAGATAGCTTTGGTCCTTTTATGGGAGATAGTGTGCAGTCTACTCAAGTTGTTAATAACATACTGGTACGCCTGACCTATCCTATGTCTGAGGTTCCGTTCTTGCCTGGAAGTCCGGAGAAAATGGACCTGAGCGTCCTAGCGAAACTTCGATTCAAGGTCATTCAACTCATGACTAGCATGACGCGGTCTCCTTTTGCAAGCAAGGCCATGGCTATGCACCCTCTTGTTATCGGTAGGCTTGTTGGCCTTATAAGTGATGAAATAGATGATTTGTACGATTACAAAGCTCGACACGAAGAGAGGTACCGACACTGAATCCATTAGCCAGCTTACAAATACTAATACCCTGACAGTGCACGCATAATAAGTCTTACAATGCGTTTGTTGTACTACATCGTTACCAAATTCGACGATGATATCGACATGCAAAAGAAACTCGCTGCTATTCGCGGCGGATCCCAAAAGTACCTCCTCTGTCTCTCACGCCTGAATTTCTCCGAAGACGATTTAGTGTTGGAGTCGGGCATAGAGCCCGATGTAGCGGGATGTGCGCTCGAGTTGCTTGAGCTATTTGTGACGCCTGAGGAGGGAGATGCAATCCATTCGGCGTTCTCGGGCTCGTGATCTATACATACCCACGGTTTGGAGAGTACATATGGTTGTCGTTAGGCACAGGATATAGGGGTATTGGCGTTGGGAGGTAAATATCTACAATCATCAGCATCAGCATCAGCATCAACATACGTTTCGTTTTATACCATGTTCTTTGAATCGCATTATTGGTCTCGGTCAAAGCGCATGATAGTATTGTCGTTTCTACATGTTATTTCATATTCCAGGCGTACAAACACAACTCCCCGAGCTAGGTGCGCTTCCCAAATTCCCACTCACAAAAACAACCAGCACAGCCGCATACGCAGCCGTCGCCCCAAATATCTGATCCCTCCTCGCATTCGTCAGCAACCCCACACAAGCAGCAAACAGCACCGTCCAGCCACTCAACATCCCCAACAACGCATGTGGATTCTTTACAGTATACAACGAAATGATCGCGCCGAGAAGCATGACCGCCGCCAACACAGTACTGAGAATAGTGACGAAGTGCGAGAGTGAGCGCTCGGAAATGTAGGCTGTTGTCCCATCTGGAGACGAGGTTTGGAAGAGTAGGGAGAAGTTGTTTTGGACGAAGCTTGAGAGGCGGTCTTGATCTGCTGGGACACGGAGCGCAACGAGATCGTGGATGTTGTCGTACATACGCTCGGATGCGCCCCAGAGACGGGGTGTTTCGTGAGAGGTGGGTCTGCATGTGGAGGTGTTGTTGAAGAACCACTTGCGGAGGGCTTTCACTGTGCTGGGGGAAGGGGTCGGGGCATTGAGGAGTGTTTGTTGAGTCGCGAGTGCCCTGTCTGGGTTTTGTCAGTTAAGGTAATTAACCTCCCGAGTTGACTTTTGGGTATCGTACGATATTTCTCAAGCTTCTCCCTGATCTTCATCACCAACTCCATTCTCCTCTTCTCTCTCTCCACCCCTTCCCCCGCACTCCGCTCAAATACACTCCAATCCCGCTGGCAATCCACAGCAATCTTATCCCTCGCCTGACTATCTTCGTCGTCGTTATCCTTCAACTCCTCCTCCAACTCCGCTAGCTCGGCTTGGAAATAGAGCAGGCTTCGCGCGGAAAGCTCGTCGAAGCGTCGGTAGATAGTGGTTGTTTTGTCAACATCGCTGTTGATCTTAGATGCCACGAGCGCAAAGCCGCGCTTAGAAGTTACATTTCGGGTGCCGAGTTCAATATCAGGAGTTGACATTACTGGGTCCCATTTCTTGCGGATAGATCCATTTGATTTCTCTTGGAATATTTGTCAATGACTGAGGGTGAGGTTAGAAATAAAGACGAGGCTGAGGTGTGCCCCGCGATGCTGTACGCCTTGTGGCGTCTGCAATGCCACGTCGGGCGTCAAGCCTGTCAAGGCAGAAACATCTCAACGTTTTCCTATTTCTCGAGTCTCTTCCTCTTTATATCCTTTTCATCGACAAGTCCTTATTTTGAAATATACTCAGTTGCTGATTATAACCGCTCGCTCGTTGACCAAGTCTGGCATCATCGTGTCGCAGATCATCTCTTTACAATAACCTAGTGAACTACGATAGAAACTAAATTTCTAGACTCTACAGGAATGCCAAACAAAAAGCGGAGCCGTCAGCCAGTAAGTGGTAGTTGGCTCCCAGAGGGCCGTCAACCTACCCCTAAATCCACGACGGAAGCTCACCATCACCGCGAGCCTTCTCTATCGTCCTTGGGACCAGCAGCTCCAACCTCGCCATACACCACAAGTATCTTGAATCCGAACGTGCCTGAGGATCTCTCGGCAATTTCTAAATGGGTTCCTGGTGAAGTCTTTATCTGGTCAGAAAACAGTTCTGGTACACATCCATCGCGTTAAGCTGCCAACGAAGCTTGTGCTAATAGCTTTATTATAGACTTTCATCTCAGACACGTTCCGCCACCATTTACTCGACCTGAGAGGACCTTCTCAAAAGCAAGACACTTCAAACGGAAAGCAATTCGTGTTGCCATCAACGGAAATGAATGCTATGCTCGTCCAGACTCGGCGTCTGATCAAGACATAATGACTAAAGCATTCGCAAAAGAACACAACATCCTATTTCAACGAGAAGAGGATGACACAAGCTTTTTCAAGCTCGGTACCGGGAATCTCGTCCAATCAATCGGGAGAGCCTATGTACCCTTCAAACTCTTCGGCAGAGGCTATTCTGAAGAACATCGCTGGTTTCATGTCCTGAAGAAGTGCCCCGTGCCGCTGATCGTGGGAATGGGATTCCTCGAAAAGATTAAGCTCTATTCCAAAAACAAGCATCTACTAGTCGACTGCCCTTCAAGCTTTGGAAGCATGCCGATGTTTCAATGGATAGGTTCGCCTCGTGGTTCCGTCAATTTCAAGGCCAATGGAAAAGAGCTAGTTGGGTGCGCAGATACTGGCTCAGATCTCGACTTCATGTCATTACACTGTGCAAGGCGACTCGGATTAAAGGTTGACACAAAATTGAAAGCACGGACACGAGTTATGCTTGCCGATGAGTCCATAGTTGGGACCGTAGGGCAGGTAACGGTGTCATCTATCGAGCTATCGAATTTCAATAATTTCAAGCTGAAATTTCACATTCTACCGGGACTGGTATCTGATGTGATTTTTAGCGAAGCCTTCCTCGACGAAACGGACGCGTTCAATACATGTGTGCATATCAAGGATTCGGAAGATTCGTACCACAACCTTGTGAACACTTTGATGAATCTTGGTCCTATTCAAGCGTGGCTGAGTAGCAAATGGACGCCAGATGTTGTGGACACGGCGCAACAGGAGCATGATCGGGTTGTTGAAGCTGAGCATTATCGGCGCAATAAGGCGAATCGGACGATTAAGAAAATGAGAGATGAGAGCCGAGCGGCTGCTGCGAGGGAGGCTGAAGAAGCGAATCAAAATACTTTCAATACGGGACATGCGAGATGTCCGCATTGTGTTAGGGAGAGACATAGGACACGTGCGTAGGACTGGCGCTTTTTGAATATTCTTGATACCCTTTATATGTATATGGCGGATTGGGAGAAAATTTCGGCGATTAGCTTAAGTTTGCATACAAATTGTAGCATGCAATCGGCGTTGTCATGGGATTATTGCAGGAGTCAACAGGAGTTTAAATACAGAGGTCGCAATGAGTCAGAAATACCAATATTTCCTTTAGAACGTAAAGTCGGTTCATATGTGTGATCTGAGGGTACTTCTATCCAACGAAAGAAGTTCGAAAGAAGTTCATCAGTATACTTCATACGTCGAATTCCGAGCCTTTCTCTACTTACTTGACTCCTCTTTGTAAAGGGGCTCGCTAAAGAAACCTAAGGGGTTGACCAACTACAATCTACTTTACTTTCGTAACCGCACTGTGTGGAGATGATTGGTAGTTTTTGCTCGGAAGAGCAATATTGGTTTGGCGTTACTTTCTACGTTTCATGAAATCTATGTCAAGACCACAATCTTACCGCCTGCTTCGTTTGAATCCATGCACCTGTGCGCTTCAACGATATCTTCTAGTTTAAACACCTTTCCCACAGGAATATCCATAGTGCCATCCAGAATGTCCTTCACGAGTTCATCTAGAGGCGTATTGACAAAGTCCTCGGCACTCCCTCCGTAAGTGGAAAGATATGTGCCCGTGGGTATAACCATATTTGGTGAAAACTCCTCGAATGTCCATTTGCCACCTACGATTCCTGTCATGGCCGTGATGCCGTGCAACTTGAGACACTGCATTGAGTCGGTGGCAGTGGTTACACCAACAAGCCATTGGGGGATCAGCCTTCCGGTACTGCTACGAGTACTGAAACTTAAAGACTACTCGAGTAGGTACTTACCTCAAGAATCTTGTCGAAGCCATCTGGATACCTCTCCTTCACCTGCCGAGCAATCGTGCCGTTATCAATAAAAACATCATCAATACCCCGGTCTCTCAGAAACTTCTCCCGGTCAGCTCTCCGAGTAGTTGATGCAACAAAAACCCCATGCTTCTTTGCAATCGCCGCCGCTGCAAGACCGACAGATGTAGTCCCACCGCGAATAAGTAGCGTATCGCCTTTTTGAATCTGCAAAGTCTTGAACAAGGCTCCCCAAGCAGTCTGCAACATCTCCGGCAAAGCACCCAAGACCTCCCATGGAACCTTCGTCTTCACAACCTGAACCTGAGTAGCGGGAACAGAAGTATACTCGGCGTACCCTCCATCAAAATTCCGGCCCATTCCACCCATTGCGGTCGCTACAATGTCGCCGGGCTTAAACTCCCCACCGGGAGCTTCCTCCACAATCCCAGTAGCCTCGATACCTAGAATACGGGGGAACTGTACGGGGGAATGACCTTGTCTCGTGAACATTTCTGAACGGTTGATCCCAAAAGCGCGGATGCGGATTAAGACATCGCCGAGTTTTGGTGCGGGGATTGAGCGAGATTCTAGCTTGAGAACCTCGGGGCCGCCGGCTTCGTGGATAACGACTGCTCTCATCATTTTAACGGACGCCATTGGGGTATCGGTATTTGTAGACCCTGTGGTGGAGTAACTGGAGTTGGGTTGAGTGAGCTGTCTGATTCCGAGAATGATTGCGATGAAGAGGCAGAAGCTTGAGATGGCGAAACGATACATCTATCAGTACACAGTGGAACGGCACGGCAGGCCGTACAATATCAAATGTAAGATACTTATAGCCAGGAATCGATACTATATGATTGACCACTGAGGGGATACTGAGGATTAGTGAGACGGACCTAACTACCGGCTTGAAGCATAACGCCGTTACAGTACCCCGCGGCTTTAAAGAGTTGGTAGATATTGATTAGAAAACCCCCAATATGTTGTTTCCGGAAAGAGAGTTAAAATAATCCAAAGACTTCAATTTGATTAAGGCTCAAGCTAAGCCCATATGTTCTTACTATAAACTTAATCATTCGCAAGCAATCTCGGAGGTGATGTTTCTAAGGCTAGCCAAGTACCTAGTTATCTATTATTAGCTATTGCTAACTTTAAAAGCAATTCTTATTACTGCTTTGATATGGATTATTAATATCTACAGTTTTAATATTACTCTGCTCAAGGGTGCACTTATTGTAACAAAGTCTGAAGTGGTGAGCGTAATAGATACCGGTAGTTCGTTTTCGTTGTTGCTTCACCAGATTTAAGAGTGCTGCTGAGTCAGGCTCCCGAAATCCTAAGAGTCGGGAGCTAGAACTAGGTGCCAGGCCAGGGATTTATATCGTTATCCTTACATCTTCGTCTGTGAATATATTAAAGATGACGGATATATTGTTTGCTCTAGAACGGTTAGACCAAGAAGAGAGGGCTAAGAGGCCGACAAACTCGAAGCAGAAACGTGGACGAACTCAAACGTACGTATTTCATTCATGCCTTCATTCCTGGTAGAGCAATACAACGAAGCCTCGGTTATGATCACTCACTCTCTTCACCCATAGATCTCGACGCAAAGAGCGCCCTCCACCGCCGACGACCCTCCTCAATGCTCCCAGCACCTCCAAGTCCGACTATGCGTCTTCCATCCGCTCCGAATCCCAAGGGCCCAGCTCCCGACGAATCTCCTTCGCCGAGCCGGCTCGCCCGTCCGCCACGTCGAAACGAATCTTCCTCCCGACACTGAAAGACTCGCTGGCATCGGGCTTCCCCTTTGATCCGCGGCTTCTGAAATACGGCGTCGCGGAAGGCATATGGGAGCGTTTCCAAGGCGAGATTGTCTCTCTCGCCGAAGTCCCCAAGCCGACGTGGTTATGGCCCATACAGCGCAAGGAGGTTGTCCAACGGATCAAAAGGGAATTGCAATATGATGGGGACCTGAAGCGGAAGCTGAAGTTTTGGAATAGGGCCTTCAGGCAGATGGGCTTTCAGGTCGATCTGGCGTTGCCTGGGGAGCATCTCGAGGACAATGCCGACCCGGACGGCGATGAACCCAAGAACCCGAATGCAAAGAGGGACGCGAAGAGGTTTCGCATGGTCATTACACCGAATGCGGAGAAAGCGACAAGTGTTTACTCGAGATCGAGCAGTTTGACCCGTTCTGTTACTGGAGAGGGAAATCTCCAAAAGGCAGCGGATGCCAAAAAAGTCAATGCGGAGGAGGCAAGGGATGCTGATGATTAGACTATGACTTTTACGACGTTGGTAGGCGCTGTATCTACATGTATATGTACATAATATCTGGGATTGTTTTTGTATGATAGGCACGGGATAGCTTCAATAGCAATGATTACCTCGCCGGTTTTGGTTCATCTCTACATACAGGTAAGAGATATTTGGGGCTGAAGACCGAGCTAAGCTGATGCAAAGGCACAGATTCTAGAGCATATATATTGCTGGGCTCAATAAAGCAGTCTGATAATATATTCCGACCCAAAGACTCAAAGAGTGATGATGACGTACATTAAATATATTAACTTCTTCCCACAACACTTCCAGCTAGACCAGATTCTCAATTCTAACAAAGCAGCCGCCGGGTAGTCTAATAATGTAAAGCCGCAACACAATCAGCACTTGTATAATACATCCATAATACATTTGGTATATGTTCCCGAAATATAACGCCTTACCAAACCAAGCAATCATTTAGGGTTCATCTACTTGATCATCGCCCTCTTTTATCTCTAGCTTCTCATCATTCAAACAAAACAAGTCTGCCGCCGAAAGTTCATTCCTGACTTTCTCTGCCGAAAAATCGCAGCCTCCAATCTCCTGTCGGAAAGCCTGGCTGTATGTCAGAGCCTGCAGCCCGGTTTCCCCAACATCAATTCTCTGTCCATCCCAACTGAGAAATGGCATTTCTGTAATTGGTGGTAATTCGCCGTCATATGGTAATATTGTTAAGAGGGACTTTGTGATCAGCGCAGTCTCTTTATGCTTCAGCGACAAGTGATCATTGAGGTTGGCAGTAAGCTCTCCAGAATCGGACGGAGTTTCGGCCTCGTCATCTTCAGAATACTCCTCCGGAAGTTGATAGAGGTCGTTGTGTAGTGTCAGCAAAGTATCCGCTTCGAAATTAGGATACAAAGTCGAGTATCCGCGGGCACGAACAAGCTTCAAAACATGTTCAAGCCAAGAAGGATAGGTCTTGCTAACCAATTTCTCATCTATTGTCGCTTGAGTTTTGTGCTGCAATTCGAGGAGCTGAGCTACAAAGTCATGAAGCTCAACCCATTTATCGCCAAAGTACAAAGCTGCATTGCTGTTTGGTGCTTGCCACAGAAATGGCGTGGGAATCGTCGTATTATTTACTGGGGGTACAAATGATGACGAATCATTTAGGTAAGTCGATGGTAGGTCGAGGCTTATGCCCATCAGATTTTTGTGGTGTACGGATGGGGCTCGGGAGTATTTGTATTCAAGCATCGTGTACTTGAGGTAGTGGAAGAACAGTGGTGAGAGTTCTGCCTGTGGCGAGAGGACAAGCACATGAGACGTAAAGGGATCAGCTGGCCAGAAGGCCTCGAGAAAACGGATCGAGTTCTCATCAGGGGTAAGACCATGCTGGGGAATACGGTGATGTAATGTAAGTAAACTTCCCGTGTTATGATCTGCGTGAGGGGGCCATTTGAAATGTTCCAGGTATTTTTTCGTTGGAGCGTCGATCTGATGCGGCAATTCGATTGTTAATCGCGGTGGAGCAGATGAGAAGAAATCCGCCTTCTTCAGAGAATTGAGCAATCTCATCAGAGACCCAGAAGCCGAGGGTTGGGCATGAACCACAACATCTATGCTGACCTTATTCCATGCTAAAGATATTCAGTAGGATTTATTTAAAAGACTGCAGAGAACATACCACTCAACGATGCACTGTCCAGTAGAGTCACCCACATCAGGTACTGCTCAGCATTACCAGGGAGTTCTATCACTGTTCTTTGGAGAGACGCTGCTCGGTTCTTGAGGCCTTTTAAGAAGAACGGCTCTTCTTCGCCCGACCCATCGATAAAAGTCGCTTGCGGGTGGACAAATGTGTTGATATGATTGAAGCCGGCAAAAGTACTGACTTCCATTCGAAAGTCGGTGCTCTGAACAGAGAAATCGGGACGAGCATCTAGGGAGAGTTAGATTATTTAAGGGGGGTTCAGAAGGACTACATACCATGAAAAATGATCCTGCATTCTTTTGTAATTCCATTGACAGACTTCAGTATGTCCATAGAAATATCATCCCTTCCCATAAATGCGAAATGTACAAAGTTTCGTGCTCGCATAGCCATATCACAGGCGATGGGCAGCAGTGTCGCAGCGCTCTTCACACTGGCAGCGGCGAAAAGCTTTAAATATTAGCAATTGATATCTGCTAAGAGGTTCTTGGTACATACGACATTCTGGTTGATTAAATCAGCGCCCTTCGTATTCGAGACAGCATGCAGTGACGAGGCAAGCTGATAAAACTTTATGGGGCCATTGAAACTGTGGAGAGACTCTGAAGTTTGGGCTTGAGCTGTCTTGGATCCAGAACCTTGTCCTGCTGGAGGCAGCGCCTTCTGGTTGGTATAGTCCGTTGCAGGAGCAGGTACAGTGCCTGGACGAGAATAATTCGGCCTTTGCCTGGGACTCTCGAGATCGTTGGGCATTTCCTTGAAAAAGTAGTAAAGGGCGACGAAGGCCAGAACGCCCAAGGCTATTCGCTTCAAGTTTCGCCTTTGAGGCCCATGAGGCAGTCGGCGATGCTGCCAGAACATGCCCAAAGGACTCTTCAGTCCCATTCCCGGCTTATGGTCATCGTCCCGCTTCCCCAGCTCCTCGTCACCAGGGAATAAGCGTGGTGGGAGGGGGAGGGGCATCTTGACCCACGCTCCTCTCTTGTCCTCTCCTCTCCTCTCCTCGCGAGCTCGGCTCAAGTGGAAAAAGCTAATGCCATGCGGATTTTCGCTCGGTATATGAATTCGAGGGTTGCGCTCAGTGGCAGGGTGGTGAGCTCGAGAGGGACCGCAAAGGAGTGGTATTGGTACAGACCATCTATGGTGACGCCCAAGATGTTCGCGGAGAGGTGCCTGCAGTCTGCAGTCTGGTATCTGCTGATGCCCTCGAGATGACTTTGAACTAGAAGTTATTACGGAGTTCAATGATGGAAGTCAAGAAAAAGAACACGGTACAATACAACAAACAGCAATACGTATCAGTACCAAAACTTAATGAAGCAAAGCGCCATCTGTACGGTAAGAAGCGCTAAGATCTGCGGACAGGACAGGACAGGCCTGGACTGGACTGGGGTCTAGTCGAGGTTTAGCCACATGAGGAGTAGAGTAGACTTCACTCCACTCCACTACGGGGTAATTCACCATCTTCACTACTACCGTACTTCATCATCTCTTTCTCTCTCAGATCCGTCTATATTCATATTAAGACAAATCATTATAATTCGCCATAACACAACAAACACCGCCAGCTAAAGTCAGCCAGTCAATTTCCGACCTACCATCAAAACCATCTCCACAGCCAGAAATACTATAGTAATGCACAGAAGATCAACACTCACCACGTCGCAACAATGTTTCAAACAGACACGACAAAATGCAGCTATCTAACTACGTCATTTGACCATTAGTCACTACTCGTAAAGCGTTTCAATCAGAGCCTCCTCTTGCTTTGTGATTTCCATGTGGTGTGAAACAATTCATCCGACCCTTTGTTCAGCGGAGCTCTTCCGAGTTTAACCTCTACAGTAAAATCCTCGCGTCTAGTCTCCAAGCGGAACTCTACGTTTGCACTTTGTTTGTTTTCTTTGTCTAGGAATATAAAGACTATCAAGCCTTTAGGGGGTTCCATGTCTTGGAAGTTATTGCCGTTAACCACAGTGCTTGTCACAAGTCATATATCTCTAACTTGGTTCTGTCAAGGCACTCTCTAGAATAGCCTGTTTACTGCAGTGTCAACCCTTCCTGCGTCCGTAAACCATCTACTACCCTAATGGCTGTGGTGTCGAGTGATGATCTAGATCAGCCTCCACAATCCTAGAGATGTTGGCAACCGCCAAACCTCAAGCAAAGTTGAGAATCCGCCGACAAATTCCACTATCTATCATTACTCCAAAGGTCGAGCCTTTGTCCAGTTGGCCGATGAACCCGAACAGTAGACCCGATGGTGCGTCGGGTGGAGATTCGTACTTCCCAATACAGACACCAATGGTTCAGGCGCGAGTTCTCGAAGACCTTTTTACTGAACGGTCGTATCTCCTAAACTCCCTCCAACATGAGAACTCCAAAGCGACTGACCTTTTAGCACGCTTAACTTCTGCACAGGCGAACCTGGATTCAGAAGGGACACCTAATGTCCGGAGAAAGATCAGAAAGCAGTTGGGCTGGCTGAAGCGCAGGCTCGACGAAACCAACCGACAGGAAAAAACCCTACTGGCTCATCTTGGGCAATTGAATTATCAGATACAGTCAATAGAGAGATGGAGCCAAATAGAAAACCAGCGACAGGTTCTTCTTCAGCAGCAGCAGCTTTTTTATACTCCTCTTCCAATCCACTACAGCATGCCGCAAATGATGCTAAGTCCCATGTCTCCAGAGTTTCAACCTCAAGAACACCATATTCCCTCCCCACAATGGCTCCATATAGAATGGCCCCAGCAACACCACCCGGCTGAAAAGGGGGGGCCCACTTTTCGAATGCCTTTTGAGAATTATCCCTCTGATCTGCGAACAAGGAGCCATGGCGATAATGGTTCAGTTTCCCCAAAATGCACTGAAGTGATGGAAAAGAGTGCGGTTGGTGCTGAAGCAAGAAAAAGACCACCCTTTGTGACCAGGTCGTCATCGTTGAATGGTACTGAATTGGATGTCCTTTCGACTGGTGGTACATTACAAGTACCAGGACCAGTCATCAAGAGGCATAGTATGTCCATGATACCTAGGCACTCGGATATGGCAAACTACAGTCGAGGCCACTGGAGAAGTCGGGACGATTAAAAGTAGTGAGAATAGCGAGGACGGGTCAAGTATTGTACGACAAGATTATATATGGCATGAAAAGTAGACTTGAGCGTAAATCATTATGGTATATTATCTAGCGCACTTTGTGCCACCTGAGATGCTGATTTCAGCCGTGAGCACAAGTCCCAACTAATTACTGAAACTCCCCAAATTCCCCATCATCAAACCCCAAATCCTCCATGGAACCCGGTTTGGGCAATTCGATACTTTGGCTAAGCCTCTTCTGCGCCTTAACCTCCTGTGCACTTGGCGGTGGAGGAAGCAAAGAGCTACCACCAGGTGGAGGCGGCAGTGAAAAAGCACCAAAATCCCCACTCGACTGATGCGCCTTGTTCTGGTTCCTCCTTCCTCTACCTCCAATATTGACCGTGATCGTCTCGCCCTCCTTCAAGCTGAAGTCTTTCTTCTCCGGAGTCTTCTCCTTGGACACTTTCTTCCCCCCAGACTTCCCATTATCATCGAACCCCAATGTCTTCCTGACCTCCTGCAGCGCAACACTGAAATCGAACGCCTCGCTCCTCTCCTCAAACCCGACGCCCAGCATCGCCTTCCTGCCTCCTTCGCCCTCGACCCTGACGGCAAAGAAGCGCGAGGAATCAAGCACCTGCTCTACCACCCCAGCCGCAGTATATGGCGCTGAAGCAAAGAGCTGTCCATTGCTGGGGTCTTCTAGCAAGATGTCTGTCTTGACCGATTCCTCGTTGTTCGGCATAGGGATGGCAGTCTCGAGGATGCGTAGTCGTGCGGTGAAGATCTGGCGCTTGTTGTTGTCGGCAGTCCACGAGGCGGCCACGTAGCCTTTGGTGCTGGTCAGAGGGGGGATGTTGTAGACATGGACGGAGGGCGCGATGAAGAGGATTCGTTGGATGGCGTCGGCGGGGAGAGGCCGGCCGGTGGAGGGGTCAATGGATTCCATTCTGTATACCTGGGTTATGATTTCGAGATGGAGATCGACGGCTTATGTGTTGAGGGTCATGATTGTACGGGAATGATCAAAGATCGAAGGGGAGTGTCGGTAGTGAGAATGTAGAGCTGAGCAATTATCTTCAATCATTAACGCTTTCTTTGCGAACCCCGCCTAAAGTGAAGGTATCGTAAAACGTATCAGTTAGTATCTTAGCGTGTCAGGTCCAGGTCCTTCCCGTGACTGCAAGCGATATCTAAATCCATGCAACTTTAAGGAATCGATCGCATCGCATCTTCAGTCGGTATTCAAAAATTCTAAACAGATGGTGCGGTTCTGAATCGTCTTCTTCAACCACTTTCTGTACTCTAAAATCCAACTTTTCTAAGCAGCCATTATGAATAGTTCAGACAGTTTTAGTGAGAGTAAGTAGTTCACTTTTGCAACTGAGCTTCATCCGCCACCAAGCTCTTAGTGTCAGCGCCTCTATTTCAGCCTTGTCCTAATAATTTTCAAGCAACATCAACAGCTTCTTATGAAGGCAGCACAACACCACCACCCTTAACAGGTCACCCTCCCGCATTCACCAGAATGGCAACCGTAGGAAATGTCCCCCAGGCGGGAGAATCCAAAGATTTCGAGTATTTACTCCCTCAATTTCTGTGCCAATAACCCCCTTCTGACTCACACTCTTCAGCATAGTAGAAACATACCATCGCCTCCTCTCCGATGACCCCGACCTGACAATGCCCGTCGCGGCTATTGAAGCTCTCATAGAACTGCTCGTCCAATCCCGCGCCGTCACCGTCTTTGAAACCCTCGACCTGGTAAAGACACAATCCGACTACCTCAAGTCCCGAATCCCAAACTCCATTTCGCTGTCCGCTGGCACGGATCTGTTCCAGAGATATATGATCAGTTCATTGAAGCCTTCGAGTACGGGCAATTTTGAGACGGTCAGGCAGCACCTGTTAAGCAATGGCAGGCTGTTTGTTAGTAGAGCCAAGGCGGGGAGGGAGAAGATTGCAAATTACGGCAGGCACTTTGTAAGAGACGAGACTGTGGTGCTTACACACGGGGGTTCGAGAGTCGTGGGTGCGTTGTTGGGTAAGGCTGCGGAGGCGAGTGCGAGTGGTGGAAATGTGAGATTCAAGGTCATTTATGTGATGAATGATACTAGGAATTCGGAGAGCAAAGCTGTTGTTTCATCACTGAGGCAAAAGGGCGTACCTGTTGCAACGATATCGGAGGGGGCTGTGGGATATGCTATGGGCAAGGTCGATTTGGTTATCGTTGGCGCGGAAGGTTGTGTTGAAAATGGTGGCATTATTTCTAGGCTGGGCACATACCAGATTGCTCTTCTGGCGAAGGCGGCCGGGAAACCTTTTTATGTTGCGGCCGAAAGTCACAAGTTTGTTAGACTTTATCCTCTAGGGCAGTATGACCTTGGTATTGATCAAGAAGTCATCAAGTTCAAAACAGAGGATGAGCCCGATTTGACGGACGCCGAGAGAAGTTTTGCAAACAGGACGCCAACGATTGAAGAACGGTCGGAGTACTTTGAAACGTCTCCTATTGCCCTACCGAAGCCAAATACTGCGGTCGATGCAGTTGACTTCACAGTAAGGAATCCCCAGAGAGACTTTGAATAATGCTAACAGATGTATAGCCTCCAGCCCTTATATCAGCCTTGATCACCGAGTCAGGTGTCTTGACACCTAGTGCAGTCAGCGAAGAGCTTATTAGTTTATGGTACTGATCCAATTATCACGACTTTGGAAACACCGCAAATACCAGCTAAGAGTTCATGAAAGCGGCGCGGGGTTGAAAGCCTTACAAACGCCTCACACCGTCTCCATATTGGATGAGAACGAGGGCATGATGAGTTGACCTTTAACCAGAAGCAAGGATGTGATTTTGCCAATAGCCAAAATATCCTAGCAGAAGCTATGTAGCTTGCTGAATACCGCCTCTAACTCTTAGTATGAGCTCAGAGGACCAGAGTGCAAACAATAAGATATGTAATTGTCTCAATTTATATCGGACAATCAAGTTGTGCCAGTCCAACCTCGCACTTGCTTTTTCTACAGCTAATAAAAATATGGGGTTCCCCTCCATCCATAGCTCCTGGTGGCATTGATTCATGACATAGAATATACAAGAACAAAATAGCCAATCCACAGCAATCATCCTAGCTATCTATACATACCTCAACCCAATTTCGTTGTCATTCGTTCCACCTTACGCTAGTACTCCCTCCTACCAACCTCAAACCCAACATCTACGCCTTTTTTATTCCAACATCTCTTTAATCTCATGCTAGCTATAGCCATGACAGTGCATTTATGTTCCCACCGAGTCGAGTTCAATCCAAAGAATCGCGAAGACTAATTAATCAAACTAAGCGTACCGTGCCATGGCGTGATAAATACCCGCGATAAAGGCAATTAATCACTCCCCTATCCCAAACTACGCGGAGATGGAGAATGATAGATAGATAGATAGATATACTTGTAAGTACTACATAATTACATGATATAGATAATCACACCCCAGTTCATCTCAGCGGATGGAAATAAAGAAGCGATGCAGAGTCAATTACCTACCTACCTATCTAATAACGCTATAACTACAGTAGGTGGTAAATAAAATGGAGTGAGTGAGCGAGCGACGTACTTATCCTGTCAAACCGCGTTTTTCTTATTTATTTGTTTGTAATCCCGCCTTTTTGCGCTGGATATATATAGTATGCGGATAGATGGATATATGGATGGATACTTTTATAATATAGCATAGTACATGCAAGTAGAAGTAGAAGTAGACCGGCGATTAACTCGTTATAGTAGGCGAATGGCCGGCCCCTGAAGATGAACTGAGGGGTTGTCGGTTCAAGTTATGACTGACCACAGCAATGGAACGAGGACGAGAACGAGGCGAGCTGTTGTCTTTACATCTTCTTGTAGTTGGATTGGATAGATGTTATATATAAGTCCGTAAAACATTTCGAGTCAGCTTCCCTACCGGATCAGATGGAATACCTAACTCGTCCTAATAATATTCGACAACACGTATAATATCATGGTAGAAAAAAGGCAGATCGTGTATCTTCTGTCTTGACATTTCTACGTTCTTGAGTACAACCCCAATCTCTATACAACGCCCTACTCATCCAGTCCCGGGAAGCCCAATGTCCCGCCCCGTCTACCAATTCATAAGATCTACACGCGAAATTTTTAGCTTGTCTCCATATCCATACATCATCCAATGCACTTGAAAAGTAGGAATAATAATAACAAACTTACCTCTTCCAAAAAGTGTCCTCTTGGCCCAATCCATAGCCAGCAAGCATCTCGTCCTAAGGCTCACGCTCTGCGCAAAATACACACTTCGCCACGCGTAAACAGCCCACAGCCCACCAGTAAGGTTCCATCCACCACCGAGATCGAAAACCGCCGAGTTTCCAATGTAGGCTAGACTGCCCAAGTGACGGTATTCGAATGCCTTGTACACAGCTTCGTCCACATCGCCATCCCGAACATCATTCATTTTCAAGCCTGGCGCCGCTCTTGACAACTTGTTGAATTTGTGGCCTAGGTATTGACCCTGTTGGTGAGCACGTTGAGCTGTAGCAGGCAGCGAAGTAAGCTTGCTGTCGATTTGCATCAAAAGTTCTCTGAGCTCGCCGAAATCGAGGGTTCCGGATTGGTCAACGTCGTAAGCTTCAAAGAGCTTGTCAAGACGTTTGAGATGATCTGCGGCTTGTGGAAAGCGTCTCCTCACTTTTTGTGCCACTTCACGCCATTCGCTGAAAGTGATCTGCATCGTCTCCAGGTCCTTGCCTTGCTCCCACGCCAGATTACGAACAAAGGTCACGAGGTGATCTGCAACGTTGTTCTGGACTGTAGAACAATCGCCAATGGCGTACACATCTCCCAAAGGTGTTCCATTCAGACGTAAATGTGTGTCTGTCTCCAGAGCATGCCGGTTTGTCTGGGCGGAACCTAACGCTGCCGAGATCTTTTGGCAAAATGCTGTTTGTGAGACACCTGTGGACCAAAGACAAAATCCCATGGGGATCTCCTTTGTTATTGGCGTCCCATTCTCGTCCTTTTGGGTAAAGATGATCTTGTCTGATTGGACCTCCTGGACTCTAGAATTAGTGAGGACTTCGACCTGGTCTCGCGAGAAACGATCTTCGGCATATTTAGAGACCGCCTCATCGTATGTGTTTAGAATATGTCCCCTGCTCTGAATCAAATGCACAGATATTTCATTCCTTAGGATCTTGGGGAAGTGGGCGGTAATGTCCTCATTCAGGAGATCGAAGAGCTCAGCGGCAAACTCAACACCAGTAGGCCCGCCCCCACTGACAACGAAAGAGAGAAGGCGCCTTCGCTCTGCATCCGGGGTGGTAGGCAGGCAAGCATATTCCAGATTCGTCAAAATGTGATTCCGGATTTTCTGTGCGTCCTCGATATCCTTTAGGAAATGGCAATTCTCCAAACCTTTCACTCCATGTGGATTGGTCGTTGATCCGACACCAATGACAAGCTTGTCATATGGAAGATAGAAGCGAACTTCCTTGCCGTTTGCATCCAGCTGTGAGATTTCAACCAATTTGTGGGAGAATTCGATATTCTCTGCGGACGCCCTCATGAAATGACCCCTAACCCCTGATACTATACGCCGGATGGGTTCTACCAACGACCGGAACTCCAAAGTGCCAACCGTGGCAGAGGGCAGCATTGGGGTGAAGAGGAAGTAATTGGTTGGCGAGACCAATGTAATGTGATACTCATCTGGGTTCAACGTCTTGAGCAGCGCAACGCTTCCCCACCCACCTCCAAGAATCACCAACTTGGGCTTATCCTTCTGCCTCTGCATCTCGGCGCAATCGTCATCGTCGATTTGCACCTCTGCAATTGGTAGATTCTTTGGCCCACCAAGTCTTGGGCTCAAGGCTATTTCTGAGACATGTATATCCCGATAACTGAGGTCTTCTCTGTAGGTGCTTGCATCGTAGAGGAAGAAGACTACGACACCAGCACCCAGGGTGAGGATTGAACCTCCAAGCCATGCTGCAGAGCGGTATCCGAAATTATGGATCCACGAGCGTTGTTGAGGTAGAGGTTTGCCCGACACGGATCGAATGGGCTGTCGTAAGGAAAGCTTTCGCCATGGCGTTTGAGATAGGGCGGATGATTTGGGTGACTGACGGCCCCAGTGGTAGGATCGCTTTGAACTTAAGTTGTTCACAGCCTTCAATTGCTTGCAAGGGAAAGGGACTGCAGTGTAGGCTCGAGCTGTGAGGCCGTTTCTTCCGAATCGCGAGAGATACGCGAGGGGTCGCTGCATTGCTGAGATTTGGTGGGTAGCGGTATGTTATGGATGGTATCGCATGTTCGTGTATTCGGAGGTGGAGTAGGTAATGGTTGTATCTATTGTTAAAGAAGGTGAAGGGGGAAGGTGAGGGATAACAACACAAGATATCTTCGTTTCTTTCTTATCGAAGCTACTATGATCCTATGATCTGACGTAGGGACGGGCACGGGTAGGGGTCGTGTACAAAAGGTACAGTACAGTACGAGTAGTGTAGTGGCTGGTGGAACGGAACACGCGGAATCCATCGCCCCACTACATGGGGAAATTTGGAAAATTCGGACAATTTGCCTGAAGATGCGGTGCAGAGGGATATAAAGGGGGATATTTAATTATGATTTCTTCACTTTTTGATAATTGATAATGCTAATAAACACTCAAAATCTATCAATGTCAGAGGTTGCACGCACATGGTAGCAGAAAGTGGAAGCATTCATCAATACATGGAAAAGACTAGGCCTTCTGAATTTCTGGACCTGTGACTAAAAGAAGTCTTCGATACTAGCTGCTTGCGCTCCTATCCTAAACTCCAGTCATTATCCCACACGATCCGACGCCTTACACACCCCGAGCCAGTATATATCGCATTGCATTGTCTTCCCGAACGCCAAATCCCTATCATAATACATCTAACGCCAGCTCCATCATCTATCATGTGATCATAGGCTCATGGCCATTTTCGTGCCTGTCATCTTTCTCGTTACTGTCCAGGCCTAGATCCAGACGAGCAGGCAGATCTTTCTTCTTATCCCTCGCCGTGTTCTCAGCCCATGCACGAAGCCGCACAATATTTCTAATAGCTGCATCACGTCGCTGATTTTGACACGTCAAAATTGCTTTGTTGACCCTGTCTGCCACAGATCTTCTGAGATCGGGGTGTATAAGGGAGGCCAATTGAGGTTCAAGGCTGTCTGGAGCGAAGAACAAAAGGGCCATTGTTCTTTCTAGATCTTCCAAGAACTCTGGGTTTGAGGCCGCTCGCTCAGCCAGGTGCTCTTGAGAGAAAGTGATCGCTGGAGTGATATCACCCCCAGGAGTGGCATGGCAGGTTCGAATGAGCTCGACGAGTTGAAGGCGAAGAAGCGCAAAGTGCAAAGGAGGATTCTTATCAAGAACCTAGATTTCTTGTCAGACTGTATGACAGATGTACACCATGGGACAATAAATTTTAGAATCAAATATGTTGCTCATACTGAGGACTGAAGTAGTTTGGTATGTATCTCATCACCGACCCGAAGGCTATATGAGTGGTGCATGAACGTGTCTAATCATAGCAAGAAATGGAGAGAAAATGAAATGATGGTGCGACTGACCTGAGGCTCAAGTTCGTTCAAAGCTTCGATGGCTTCTTGTATGCATCCCAAGTGAATCGAGTGCTGAATCTGTTGACGCGACCTCACCGAGGCCTCATCATGTTGAGCATCAAGGTTGGCTTCCTTGGAGAATTTCGCTGCCGCCGATGGATAACCTTCGGTGGTAAGGTAGTCCAATATGAGCTTGTTGATATCACTATGAATCATTCGAGTCAGCAAGTTAATCCCACATGAAAAATCATAAAGCGCTGAGCTCATTGCAATATGCAGCAATCACTCGTTCAGGTAGACAACTAAATGTGTTCTCCGCATACGTAATTTTTAGGAGAGATTCCCAGTTGATAAAAGTCATCATAAAGAGTGTGCAAAGCGCTGGGCCCATAGAATATCGAGAAAGAATCAAGGAAGGGGGTCGTACTCTTTAACAGGCTTCACATCTTCGACGCGTCGCTCGAAAGCATGGCGTGTTGGGGTAGTTGTAGAAGCCGTCGAGGACGCCTGAAGGGGTTCGTCAGCCCCAGAGGCAGAAGAGGTGGGGTGCGGGTGCAAAGCTCTTACTGACCATTCTTGCAATCAGGCTGACCATCAACCTATCTGGTCTCCATAAGCATATGAGGGGAGCTCCGAAGGTCAGAGTGTCCTGCACCTGCCTAGTTGAGAGCAGAAAAATTAAATGTCTGTGGGATAGGAAGGATGGAGGTGCGTGAAAAGCTCGAAGCGATTTTGAAGCTTGAACTGAGAGGCGCTAAGGTATGTAACTATGATCAAAAGAGACTAGATCCCCTACAGCTTTGACTGCTTTGCACGTGATAATGTATTCAAGTCCCAATTCCTTTCTATAAAGTTGTTCTACCGGTGTTCAATGCAAAGATTCTAGATTGTGGAAAAGGTCTATATCTAGGTCTACATCTGAATTGGAGTGCTTTGACTGGTCCCCAAGGTCCGACAACACAATCCTGAGGTATCACACGACACATACCTAAGTACCGAAGCTCTTCACACTCACAGGCCGCCGATCGAGCTTCCCTGCATTTGGACTACAGCTTCGAGGTTAGACACACATAGCCATGGCCGACGTGGTCACTCAACGGGCTCATTACAGCCCGCCTTGGGCCGATGTCTCTATCATTGGAATAGCAGGTGAGCAACCTCCCTTAAAAAGCTTAAAAAAGATGGATTTGCGAGTTTGAGTTTCGTATCATGCCTTTTTGAGAATATGGGACAGCCATATTGATAAAAGATGTTTTGTTGTTCATGCCCCAGCATTACTAATTCCGAGAAATCATAGGCAGCTCAGGGTCAGGTAAATCAACACTATCTCATGCGATTGTGTCGAAATTGAATCTACCGTGGGTTGTAATTCTGTCAATGGTAGTGAAGCCTGAATATATCGTGCTCTTTGCGTTCTCTAAAGTTCTTTATAGGACTCTTTTTATAAGAGTTTAGATGAAGAATCATCAAGGAAAGCTTTTCGAAACGAATACGACTTTGATTCTCCCGATGCCATTGACTTTGATGTTCTCGTGGACCGGTTGCGAGAGTTGAAGGCTGGGTATTTCCCCTTGTGAAGCTGCTTGTCAGAGGTCGCATCTGTCAATGGCTGAATACTGAAGTTTATCTACAGAAAACGGGCGGAAATTCCCATATATTCATTTGCGAAGCACGCACGGGAGAAAGAGACAACTTCCATCTACTCCCCGCATGTCCTTATCCTGGAAGGGATTTTTGCATTATACGACCCGAGAGTTTTGGAGCTCCTTGACATGAAGGTGAGCTTCTACACATACCACTCCACAGGCGAAGGTGAAGCCATAACTTATTCATAGATTTTCTGTGAAGCGGATGCCGACACCTGCTTGTCGCGAAGAAGTGAGAATTCGACGTCCCTTCTGATCCAGCTACTAATACCCGACAAGTCCTCAGAGATGTCGAGGAGCGTGGCAGAGATATCAAAGGCTGTATCAAGCAATGGTTTGCATACGTCAAACCGAATTTCGAAGCATATGTTGAGCCTCAGAGGAAGGTTGCTGGTGAGCATAGTTCCTAGCGAGCGCTACTTGGAAACTAACCATCACAGACATTATTGTGCCCAGAGGTGTGGAAAACAGGGTCGCGATTGGTAAGACTTCATTATCTTCTCATACGTTCCAACTAACGTATGGCAAAGTCATGGTGATACAATATATTGAGCGTAAACTTATCGAGAAATCCAAGAGCCACAGAGCAGCGCTCAAGAAGCTGGGCCAAAGCTCGGAAAACGATGCTCTATCGGAGAATGTGATTCTCCTTAAACAGACATCACAGGTTCGGGGTATGGTAAGTACTTGTACTCGGAAGAGGCGAAAGCTTCGCCCACGGCACTCCAAATCTCAATTTCTGACCAATTGCGTTCTACAGAATACCATCATACAGGATATTGATACATCAGCAGAAGACTTCATCTTCTATTTCGACCGCATCGCAGCTCTACTCGTCGAGAAGTGAGTTCACGAATCACGACGTGATATCACGAAAGATAGCTAATCACGCACGAACAGCGCTCTTAACAACATCTACTTCAAATCAGTAACCGTCGAAACCCCCACCGGCAATAAATACCACGGCCTCCACGCAACCGGCGAGACCAGCGCAGTAGTCATTCTCCGCGCCGGCTCCACCTTCGAGACCGGCCTCCGGCGCGTCCTCCCCGATTGCAAAACCGGCCGCCTACTAATTCAATCCAACATCCGAACCGGGGAACCCGAGCTCCACTACCTCAAACTGCCCCAAGACATCCGCACCCACGACGGCGTGCTCCTGCTCGATCCCCAGATGTCGAGCGGCGGAGCAGGCTTGATGGCTGTGCAGGTGTTGGTGGACCATGGCGTGCCCGAGGACAAGATCGTCTTCGTCACGTATTTTGCCGGCAGGATTGCGCTGAAGGGCCTCACGAAGGTGTTTCCCGGTGTGAAGGTCGTGGTGTGCACCACGGTGCCGGATTTCGAGGAACGGTGGGTGGCATCGCGCTATCTGGGTTGTTAGTACGGAGACCAAGCGCTGTGTCAAGATTGGAAATCGTAATGTGAATGAGAGAATGGATATTTCTACATATAAGGTAGCTTTTGGATATATTTATAGCATAGCCCCGTGTCCGACAGTAGTCACGGACTTGCCAGCATACGGCTTTCGGAGAGTCCGCCAAGGGCTACTTCGTAGCGCTGAATTTCTGGTTATATCCATCCGCATTTCGAGAAATATTTACCCCACATATCATATTATGAGAACTTAATTATTTTACAACATGTTACATGTTTTATTGCGACATGCTTGGAGTGATGTGTTGTGTACCTAGGTATCTAGAGGAAAAAAGGGGCGCCTGTCAATTAAGCGAGGTAGCCTTTTGCACTGGGAGACTGGGTTGTTGTTCATCTTGGTGCTCCATTTGATATTTGAGCATCATCGAAATGAACAAGAACAGCAGCTTCAACGTTTTAAAGTGTCAAGCAATTAGTGGAGTTTGAGAGTCGGGAGCATTAGTGCTACTATTCCTGTCCTGGAGGTCACTATCAGTGAAAGTTACCTAATTACCTGACTTGGACCACATGGTTACCTGCAGGTACCAAGATACTAATCTCGCAATATGACTTACATGCAATAGATTTACGAGACATAAGAGAAGCATGGTATGGTTGGATATAGGAGAGATTCATATGATGTATCATTTATTTTTAAAAAAACTGCTCAATGCAACATAAAGTCTTTGTGCGTCCACTTCTCCGTAGCCTTTCTCTTCGCCTTCTTGGAAAAGCTGATAGGTCTGCGACTCTCGACTTTACCCCTCACAAGAAGATTCCTGTATCTGTCCTTGAGCAGATTCCCTTCCGGCTTCAATAATCTCAGCGACTCCTGTAATTCGTCAGGCAGAACCAGCTCCAAGTCTCTTTCCGGCAGAGCAATCTTGCCCAATTTCCGTCGTCTGAGCTCGAGATCATCGCCCTCACTGCTATCATCATCGTCGATCAGAAGAGCCAAGGCACGGGAGGTCTCCTTGGCATTCAACGCCTTTGCAATCTTTTTCACTTGCGCCGTCTGCTCATTCTTCTTCTTGATATCCGCAGCCATCTTCGCCTTGCGCTCCTCCTCCTTTCTCCTCTTTATTTTGTTCCTCTGCACCTGTGTCTTCCGCTCAGGTCTCTTAGCATTCAACCTCACATCCTCAGCCCCGCTCTCAATGCCCTCCCATGCAGAATCTTCCTCCCATTCCGACAGCTCTGCTCGAACTTCTGCAGCCTCTGCCTCCGCGGCAGATTTGGTTGCTGCTTCGAATTTCACGCGCTCTGTTTCTGCAGCTGCGAGACGCTTCTTCTCGGCTTCGGTTTCCTTGTTGCCTTCTGTCGTGAGACGCTCTTCATAGTCGGCGAACATGGGATTGTAGCTATAGCCGCCCTCTGGCTTCTTAACTGCTGGGATGTCTTTGCCGCTGGCTGCGAGAGAAATGGGTCTCTGCTTCAAGGTCTTTGGGGCGGTTCTCTTTTTGCTCTTCTCGAGGAACGAGAAGCGGGGGTCTTGTTTTGCTTCTTCAACATCTTTTTGGATGTCCCATGGATCGAAGGAAGCCTCCGTAACCTCGACTAGAGCTTCATTTTTTCGTCCGTCGGCGATATTGCGGAGTCGGGTAAGTTCTTTATGTGAGACATAGCTGGTTTTCTGACGCTTGGGTTGGGCGAGTCCATTCGTAGTGTTATCACCAGGTCGCTTGCGGATTGATACTGCTGGGACAGCGGAGCGTTGGGCAATGATTTCATCTGCTTTGAGGCGTTTGGTTTCCTTCAAGAACTTCCTGGGTATGGAAATGTCGCCGGCGGTGTCGACAGCGAAGAGCTCTGAGGAATCTTTCTCGGCAATGATACCTCTGAGTATTGGTTAGCTTTGATCAATTAACATGCCATACAGCAATTGTATACCCTTTGATTATCTGCTCGCGCACTTCTTCAAGCCCCTCTTGAATTTCGGTAACATCCACATTTTTTCTCCAAGCCTTCTTTCCTTTTCTGGAGGGTTGCTTGTGCTGTTGAGGCGCATCAGGAGCCAGCGTGGCAGGCTTTATGATCGGCATGGTGGTCAATGGAGAAGCAAATTTAGTCGTGGTAAAAAGTTCTCGAATTCCTCCACTTGACTTTTGAGGAGGCCGTGAAAAATAATTGATACTTTAACCTTATCGAGAGCTAGTCCCATTTGACTCTAGTGTCTCAAGGATGGAGTGGATCTCTGGAGTGGCTTGGAGGATGCCACCGCTCTCCTTTTCTTTGAGGGTGCTGCTGATATTGAGCACCTCTTTCAAGCATAACGTTTCGATCCCGCATTTCACGATCCCACGGCTCCTTTGTACATACTTCCAATACGCGAATCCTGCGAGCATCCAAACTCCTAACCCGACCAACCAAAACCAAAACCCCATATTCTAGACATCATGGCGCAAACAGCGGGCTCATACAACAACCCCCTGAAGAAATTCAAGTAGGCTCTATTCATGTCATGATATAAGGACCGGTGGCTGACTTGAGAAAACAGACTAGTATTTCTGGGCGAACAGAGCGGTACGCAGCACGTTCAGCGAGCAGGAAAGCTTCAATGTTTACTGACAGTATACAGTGGGCAAGACATCTCTCATCACACGATTCATGTACGATTCGTTCGACAACATGTACCAAGCAACAATAGGAATTGACTTTCTTTCAAAAGTGAGTATATCTAGGACGCATTGGGAAGAAGAGAAGCTGACCATTGCATGCAGACAATGTACCTCGAGGATCGGACAGTGCGCCTACAGTTATGGGATACGGCAGGACAAGAGAGATTCCGGAGTTTGATCCCATCATACATTCGAGATTCAAGCGTAGCCGTGGTGGTGTATGACATATCAAGTACTATTTCCTCTTATGATATGAAGTAGAATATATCTGACCATTTATAGACGCCAAATCGTTCCAGAATACACGCAAATGGGTGGATGATGTACGCGGAGAGCGAGGAAACGACGTGATAATTGTCCTGGTTGGAAACAAGACCGATTTGAATGACAAACGAGAGGTCACGACACAGCAAGGTGAAGAGGAAGCAAAGAAGAACAGCTTGATGTTTATCGAGACGAGTGCAAAGGTTGGCCACAACGTCAAGAATTTGTTCAAGAGAATAGCCCAGGCTTTGCCAGGAATGGACGGGGCGGAAGGAAGTGTAGCAGCGGGGAACCAAAGTAAGTTTTGTGAATCTGGCCATTTAAAGCACATTCTAACCACGGGATCAGTGATTGATGTCAATATCAACCCAACGCCCCAGAACCAAGAAGGATGTGCTTGTTGAAGCGTGAAGAGGGGCATTCTCTTGGTTGTTTTGTCTTATAGGAAATGTTCTTGGGTCTGGAGCATAGCGGAGCGAATTAGCACTTGTATGATAATGGAAGCAGCCTCTTGGCTACGAAATAATGTAGTAATACTGTGGCCACAAGGGTTTCTTTTCCTGGCGATACAACGGTCGAGGGAAGTTAATGCATGGGTCTGCTCATTAGGTCGGATTTAGAGGACCTATTGCGTGAACTGTGAGGTACTGAGAATAAAGAAAGTCATCAAGAAAATAGAGTGCTAGAGCCTACAAGTTCTGGTTCTTATAAACTCTTGGTGAGATAAAGTAAAGTGTGATTCTGCATAGTAATGGCATTCGTGCCCTAAACTCTCTTAGATCTGAAAACATGAGCATATATTAAATCCGTTTCTAGTCCCCAAGTCCCAACTAAAATTGAGCAAAATACTACAGTACGCCGTGAAGCTACCAGTGTACCACAAATGATTGTAGTAAATCTTCCAAAGTTAATCTTAGAATAAAGTTTGCGCAGATCTCTCCGTCTTTGAATCTTACGTCCAGTATAGAGTCGGGCTCAAAAAAGCCGACACACCCGTGTATTATTTTGGGACCGAAGCCCGCTCCGGACGACAATCTTTCTTCACAACAGACAAAACCGCCAAATCATTCAAACGCCGACTCCATCTTACACGACTTCGAAAAGAGAGCCTGCACCAAATATTGACCATGGCGATGTTGCCACGATGGATGCGCCTACAGGTGCCCAAACCAAGAGTATGTTCAATCCTCCCAGATCAGGGGCCTCGAGGCGCCCGGCATCGAGCGTCTACGCAATCACTATGGACAAACTACTAACAAGAGATACAGACTTTCCTTGGATTCTTAAATCTGCGCATAGGAGTCGAGATGATATCGCTTTCCATGTTATTCAACAAAGTCACCGGCTTCTTTGGACTCCTCGCCATCTTCACAGGCTTCCGATTATCACCCCTACAGCTCTCCATGTACATATACTCGGGCATCGCGCTCGTCCTGCTTGCCATTCTCGCGCCACATATCCGAAAACAAAGTCCGTTTCACAACCTCGCGCTGGCCTGGCTCTACCTGATCGATACTATCGTAAACACCGCTTTCACTTCTGCCTTCACGATCACCTGGTTCTTGGCCGTCAGCGCCGATCAGTCGAAGTCGGGCATTCCCAGCAGTGCACCGGGTAGTGGGACAATCGATGATACGGCCGGCTTCACGAGCCCTAAGTACAATACATCCAAAGTTGACGTGGTTGCGACTCCAGGGGCAGGCATCTCAGGCGGGCAGTCAGCAGTCGCCTATGCCGCGGCCGGGAAGGCTGCAGCGTCTGCGGCGAGCCCAAGTCTGGGCCATGCAGCAGGCATCGAGGAAAGCATTCCGAGTCTCCTGGTCGTTGTGGTCTTGACTTTGATCCGGGTGTATTTCATTCTGGTCATGATGGCATATGCACGACAAGTTCTACGGCAATACGTTTACTCATCTTCGTCGACAAAACTACACCTTCATACCGACGGGGCAGTTGATACCCCAGCGGACAATCCTTTTGCGGAGAGTGCGCCTGAAGGTCAAGGGTGGAAGGGCAAGTTGGGGAGAATTATGGTTGCTGTAGGGAAGGGTTATTGGCTTGGAGGACAGGCTGACGAAGCTTGGGTTAAGGGGCTGGATGGGAGATTCAAGACTACAAGGATGGCGTCTGGCCCAGGAGGGACCGTGGAGAGAGAAAGAAGAGCGAGGAGCGGAACTGGCCCGCCCAAGCCTTCTCCGAATTTGGGAAAGCTATAAAGCTGGAATCATGGATGAAGGGAGAAAGCTGTATAGTGTTGCGAACTGAGGACATGTGGTCAAGATATCTGCAGTGGAAAGACGGCGTTCTGGGTCTGCAGAGGGGGGCACCTTCTGGTGTATTCTTGAACTACCCACGCTGTAATTTAGTCCCTCGGTATGCGGTTAGATATAATGATTTAGAGAGTAATGAGATGTTGTATGCTTGAGGATAAATGGGATCACCCTTGATTTCATGATATAAATTGGGTTGCTAGTAGTGTACTTGAGACATACATACATACATAGCAGCGAAATGAATGCTTGAGTATGATCCTCAGAAGACTGCGCAGAGGCAGAAGAAGCCTTCACTCTCGGCGTCATGATTATTATTCAGACATCTGCGAGAGAAGGTGTCTGGTTATCCATTTCTTTCACTCTTTAGATAATTGCGTGCTCAATGTTGCCCCTCTTGGTCCCATTACAGTCGTATTGATTGGCTTCTCCTCATTCTACATCCCGCATTCTCTGGAGACGCACACCCAACCATTGATGGAGCTACGCACACATTCTGTCGTAGCTGGGTAATTACAGCGCTTCCCGTTGGCTGAATGGCGCCAAACCCGAGCCAGCCTCCGAGTATCGCCCGCCCCAGCATCGCTAGATGAGAAGGGCGGGCAAAAAAGTCAGTCTATAGGTATACAGTAAAGGAAAAAAAGGAGCATGGCTTTGTCCTTGCCTTTCCTTACTCGTGCCACCGCTGTGATTCCTTCTTCTCCTTCCTCTCCTCACTCTTTCCGCCGGGACAATCACCATATAATAGATGAAAATATGGCGGCGGTATCCCAGCTGAAGATTCGTACGCCTGAAGAGGCTGGTATGTTACATTTCTCCCGCATCCTGGCTTGCTTGCTGCAACCACCCCGCCTTGTTGCCCATCTTGCATGACTCTCAACTGACATTCGTGCGAATAGTGGCAAGAATTGCTTATTTGTCCAGCGACGTTATCGTCTCTGTGCAGCCCGCCCAGTCAATTGAGTCCGAGTTCTCTCGACATCTGCGCCGGTATGCTGGCCGCAAGGACAGAAGTCTTGTTGCTGCCAACGAGAATGGTGTTCCCGAGGTAATGAAGCATACAAAAGCTTGAGAAAGCGCATATTTTGACAAACTTATACAGATTCAAACCGTTAGACATAATGCCGACCCTCTACTATCCGTATTCGCCCCAATTCGAAGTGGCAGACTCGTTTCCGTCACCACGAGCTCCTCCATCCTCATATCTTCAGTTCCACACCTCTATCGACTGGCAAACCTCCCAGTTGTGATCCACGTCTCCCTACAGCCCGCCAACTACCCCGACTACTCCTCGATCACTTCAATCCGAAATTCCGGCTTTACATTCCTCCAATCTGAGACATTACAAGAAGCTCAGGATATTGCTTTAACTGCCCATGCCCTGGCAATTAAGTCAGGCAAGGGAGTCATACATTTCTTCGACGCTGGGTCGTCTTCGGAGGACAACCATATTGCTTTTGAGGATGCGGACCTCGTCAGGGATATTTTGGACCTGGATGCCGTCAAAGCGTTCCAAAGCAGTAAAATTGGTGGGACCAGCATATATGCAGACAATGGAAGAGTAGCCACTATTTCCGAGACTGCGGAAGCCCAGGGTTCTACAGCTGCCACGGGAGTAGCTGGAGCGACTTCCACTCTAGCTGTAGAGGCAGTCCCTTCCCAAATCCCCTCGAAGGCATCATCAGTTGGCTCGTCTTCGAAATCTGGGAGAGAGAGCAGCGTCGACAGCAAGGATACAGCTTCTTCAGCAACTACCGTGGAACAATCTACGGTCCGGCCGGTCACTTCGGATGATATCTACAATTTCGTATCCGCCATTTGGGCACAGTTGAAGCAAAGTGCGGGACGAGAATATACCCCTTTCCAGTACTCTGGACCAGCAAACGCAGAAAACGCTTTATTCATTTTTGGATCTGATGTTGGGGCTTTTGCTCAAGCTATTGATGCTGCCAAGCCAAGCGAGGGTTTTGCCAAGGCCGGTGTCATCACAGCACGATTATACAGACCTTGGTTGGGATCTAAGCTTATTGAGACTATTCCAAAATCCATTAAGCGATTGGCGGTGCTGGAACAGATTCGGAGAAAGACCACCAAGTGGGGACCTCTACTTCTTGATTTGCTAACAACTTTGAAATCTGGACCTGGTGGTGGAGTTGAGACGATAGTTGGCCATCAATTAGGATATATTACACCAGATACCGTCCGACAGGCTTTGCGTGGCGTCTTTCAAAACTTAACGTCAGAGAAACCAATTCAAAACCTTGAGGTTGGAAACCCCGAAGGACCAACCGAGTCACGCGAAGCCTATGATCTCTCCCAGCCAAAAGTTGAATCGGCATACATGAAGATATTGGATCAAATTTTTGGCAATAGACTATATTTGGCGAATGCACTTGGTTCTCAGAATGCGGGTATTTCGGCTACGATTGCATCAAATCCAGAATTTGGGTTTGGATCTCTCATTGCTAGAAAGGAACATCGCCAACGATTTATTGGCGAGGTTCAAGAAGCTGCAAACTCGAAGGCCTTTGTCACCGAAGCGCCTAAACCCTGGCTTGCAAAATGGGTAGCCAACCTGGGTGATGAAAAGAAGGCTAGCGAATTTGCAGAGGAGATTATTGCTCGTCTTGAGACCGATGGTTCTCCTCTGTCTAGAGAGTTACTTTCAAGTAAGGGTCTATTCCGCAAGGAGTCTCCTTGGCTTGTTGGATCCGATGCCTGGGCCTATGATCTTGGGACTTCAGGTGTACACCACGTTATCACTTCTGGCGAGAACGTCAACATGCTCATTATTGATTCTACGCCGTACTCGGAGCGGGCAGCCGCAGACGCTGCACGGAGAAAGAAGGATATTGGTCTGTACGCTATGAACTATGGTAACGCTTATGTTGCTTCCGTGGCGGTATACAGCTCATACACACAAGTCCTTCAGGCAATGATCGAGGCAGACCAGTTCAATGGTCCGTCTGTGGTTATTGCTTACCTCCCGTACTTTAAGGAGAACGACTCACCCTTGACGGTGCTTCAAGAGACCAAAAAGGCAGTGGATCTTGGCTATTGGCCATTGTATAGGTGGAACCCTCAGAACGAGGAGAAGGGAGAATCAAACTTCTCTTTGGACTCCGAGCGGATCAAGACTGAACTCAAGGACTTCTTGGCTCGCGACAATCATCTTACTCAATTAATGAAGAGACATCCAGAATTCTCTTCCAACTTGTCGGAAGATTACGGAACCGAAGTACGTGCGCTGCAAAAGCGAAAGGCCAAGGATGCCTATGCTGCGCTTCTCGAGGGGCTTTTCGGAGCACCATTGACGATTCTTTTTGCTTCCGACAACGGAAATGCCGAGTCGCTGTCTAAGCGTCTGGGTAACAGAGGCAAAGCCCGTGGCTTGAAGACACTCGTCATGGCTCTGGAGGACTACCCAATCGAAGACCTGCCAAATGAGGAGAATCTTGTGATTCTCACCAGTACCGCAGGCCAGGGTGAGTTTCCCCAAAATGGTCGTTCATTCTGGGAAGCGATCAAAGACAACACCGAGCTCGATCTTGCCACTGTAAACTACTCTGTTTTCGCTCTTGGTGACAGCCACTATTGGCCTCGTAAGCAGGACAAGCACTACTACAACAAGCCAGGAAAAGATCTGGACCGTGTCCTGACAAATCTTGGCGGAAAGCGTCTCGCAGAGGTTGGTATGGGTGACGATCAAGATCCCGATGGATACCAGACCGGCTACCAAATCTGGGAGCCTCTCATCTGGCAGGCACTGGGAGTTGACAAAGTTGAGGGAATCCCAGACGAGCCTCCACCAATTACCAACGAGGATATCAAGCTCTCTTCCAACTTTCTACGCGGTACGATTGAGGAAGGTCTGGCAGATCCTTCTACAGGTGCAATTTCTGCCCCTGATCAGCAGCTGACCAAATTCCACGGAACATATATGCAAGACGATCGCGACCTCCGGGATGAGCGTAAAGCGCAAGGTCTAGAGCCAGCCTACTCTTTTATGATTCGATGCAGACTACCCGGTGGTGTCTCAACTCCAAAACAATGGATCCAGATGGACGATGTCAGTAATGACTTTGGAAACGAGACGATGAAGTTGACTACGCGTCAAACTTTCCAATTCCACGGCGTTGTCAAGGGCAAGCTCAAGTCCGCTATGCGAGGCATCAACAAGTCTCTGATGACCACAATTGCTGCATGTGGTGATGTGAACAGAAATGTTATGTGCAGCAGTTTGCCAACGGCCTCAGCGTATCACAGAGAAGTCTACGCATGCTCGCAGAAGATCTCTGATCATCTGTTGCCATCCACTACTGCATACTACGAGATTTGGCTCAAGGACGAGAATGACAAGAAGACTCTGGTTGGTGGTGATGCGGTACAGGACTTTGAGCCATTGTACGGCCCCACTTACCTTCCCAGAAAGTTCAAGATTACTATTGCCATTCCTCCCCACAACGACACCGATGTATATGCACATGATGTCGGTCTCATTGCTATTAAGGGCAAGGATGGCCATTTGGCTGGCTTCAATCTACTCGCTGGAGGTGGTATGGGTGTTACGCATAACAACAAGAAGACTTATCCTCGAACTGGAAGCATGCTCGGATATGTATCAAAGGAGCAGGTACACATTGCCTGTGAGAAAGTGATGCTCGTCCAGCGTGATCACGGGGATCGCAAGAACCGAAAGCACGCACGTCTAAAGTACACCATGGATGACATGGGAGTCGATGTCTTCCGCGGCAAGGTCGAGGAGCTGTGGGGCCAAGAATTCGGAAAGCAAAAGCCCTTCAAATTCCTGAGTAACATTGATACTTTCGGCTGGTTAAAGGACGAGACTGGATTGAACCACTTCACATTCTTCATCGAGAACGGTCGTATCGAAGACACCGCCGAGTTCCCAATGAAGACCGGTCTCCGCGAGATCGCAAAGGTTCACAAGGGCGAGTTCCGCCTGACTGGTAACCAGCACCTGATCATCAGCAACGTCACGGATGCCGATCTGCCCAAGATTAAGAAGATGATGGCCAAGTACAAGCTGGACAACGTTCAATTCTCTGGCCTCCGTCTCTCCTCATCCGCATGCGTCGCATTTCCCACCTGCGGTCTCGCCATGGCGGAAAGTGAGCGCTACCTACCCGAACTCATCACTAAGCTCGAGGGCGTGATTGAGGAGAACGGCATGCGTCAAGACTCCATCGTCATGCGCATGACGGGTTGTCCCAACGGCTGCGCTCGTCCTTGGCTCGCGGAAGTCGCTTTCGTGGGTAAGGCATATGGTGCTTACAACATGTATCTTGGGGGCGGCTACCATGGCCAGCGTCTTAACAAGCTGTACAGGAGCAGTATCAAGGAAGATGAGATTCTTGGGATCATGAAGCCGTTGCTGAAGCGGTACTCGCTGGAACGTACGGAGGGTGAGCATTTTGGTGATTTTGTTATCAGAATCGGCGTTATCAAGGAGACGACCGAGGGGAAGACTTTCCATGATGATGTAAGTACCTACCTAGTATTTCCTGTCACACCATGCCCGTGTTTCAACGAGATTTCACCTACTAACAAAACGATAGGTTGCGGAAGAGGAATCGGATGAGGAATAATCGCATCCATCTATTGCATGCATGCTTGGCGTTTCCACGGGTCATTCATTCATCATTCACTATTCACTCTGGCATGTACTCTGTTGCGTACGTGCATCGACCAACCTCTTTGAGTTCCAAGAGAAAAATAAAATTGTACATATGAAAATGTCCATATATAGCCTATGTATGAAAGATAAATTAAGTTCAAAAAAGATCCCGAGACTTCATTTATTGCTGGGCGTGGGCGCGTGGCTTTTGTGCTCCTGACCGATACTCAAACGTCACTTTTTATTCAAGTCTTAAAATCCTTGACTTTCATTAACGGTTCGACCTGGTAGGCTGGTACATTAGATGAGATTTCATTAGATTAGATTGAGGGGTGGAAGGGGGGGGGGGGGGGGTGAAACCGTGACTTGACTTGACTTTGCTTTTGCTTGAGAGAACCTAACCCAGGCCAGGGCCAGAACCAGGGCTCTTCCATTTCCCCCAACCCTTACTTACTATTCTTACTGCTGATGGATACCCTAAGAACCATTCATTCATGCACCTCCGGGCGAGTAATTGTAGACATGCCTCTCCCACATTGTGACTAATGATTAGGTAAAGACTTGATTTGTTAGAAGCGCTAGCGTTGTCCCTCTAAATCAAGACAATTAGACTAGATACATAGCAAGATGTAGAGTGAAGTAAAGTAAAACTGTGATATTATTATTGACTGTATCAAATCCAATTCAATCCAATCATTCTGATTATCTTTTCATCCCCCAAGAACGCCCGCCGCAAAGATCAATCCATCCAATCCAAATCCCGTTTCTAGGCCATGCCATGCCATGACACACCTCGAATGAGCAAGCAAACAATTATCTATCATACTCCATATATGCATGCATGCACCGGTTTTAGTTAGATGCCTCTCTCTCTCTCTCTCTCTCTCTCTCTCTCTTACAGCTGTCCAGACAGAAGGGCTTCAGTAGCTATAAACCAAGTAAGTCAGCGGCTGCTCTAGGAGGATAGAGGTGTGTATGGTTAGAGAAGGAACAGAACGTACCAGAATTAATATAAGCCCTTCTAGCATCAAGCGAAACACCGAATCTCTTCTCCAACTGCATCTTGATACTCTTCTTCGTGATTGTCATCAGATCAGCCGTCTTGAGAATCTCTCTAATCTCAGCCAGGATACTATCATCGCTGGGCAGTCCAGCAAGGTTGGCAAGCTCAAGCTCTTGCTGGTTGAAGTACTGGCTACCGCCAAATTGGCTGGTGCGGGGATCAGCGCCCATGCCTAGCATCTCGGATTGTGCCATAGACATGCGAGAGGCATTTCGGTCGCCATAGGGATAGTTGCCGCCCATCTGAGACATTGGTCGGGAAGGTGGGTATTGGTATTCCGATACGGCAGCTGGGTGTTTAGTGCCGTAGGAGTAGCCCGAGACTTCTGAACGATCGTCTCGACTTGTCTGTGCTTCCCAAAGTTCGGCTTGGTATTCTTCCCATTTCTTGTGTGGAATGGAAGCGGGGTCGAATTTGCCTTCGTCAGTAATGACAACCTTCTTGCCCTTTTCTCCGGTGACAACACGAGTGTTACCCCATGAGAAATCGTCCATGTGCCAGAAACTGTACAGGGGCAAGCCGAACGAGAAGACAGGAATTGCAAAAATATACAGAATCATCCACCCAATCATCTCCCACTTTCGGCGAAGGATGAAAATGATGGCTTGTAGACCATAGATAGCACCGAGAAGAATAAAGGCGGTGACCGGTACGACGTTGGGGGTTCTGATGACGGTGACGATAAGATAGATAATGTAGGCTAGTGTGACTGGTTGGATAATTGTCGAAAGTAGATCAATAAAGACAATGAATCGCATACTAAAGCAGCAGAAACCACAAAGCTGCGATACAGACATCAGTTCCATCAGGTTGTGGACGGTAGAGTTGATCCAGCGACGCCGCTGTGACAAAAAGATTGCCCAGGAATCGGGAGCAATAGTCCAAGCGTGGGCGTTGAATAGATACTTAGTCTTGTGCTTGGGGTGATTTTTGAGGAGAAGCGTGGTTAGGTAACGATCCTCTCCTAAATGAAGCAGATTCTTCATGTGCAGTGTGTCCACACGAATATTGGCATAGGCTTCGACAACATCTCGACTCACGAAAAGTGGTTTTCCTGTTTCTGCTGCTCGCACACGATACATCGTGAAACAACCTGGCAAACAGGTAACACTACCAAACAGACTTTCGAAAGCCTTGGACAAGTTGTGGGATATGTAGTACTCGTAAACCTGAATCATGGTGACAACGGAGGACTTGGAATTGGAAAGGGACGTTTCTCCGCAAGCGCCGATGAGCCTCGTATCATCTAAGAATGCGGCAACCATGCGAGAAGCAGAATCTGGCGCAACAACAGTATCTGCGTCGATTTGTAACATAAACTCATAGAAAGTGGGATTGACGCCTATGATGTTTCGTATTTGATGGTACATCTCAAGTTCCAGGGGACTCATGGCAGCGTTATAATGGACTCTGTTCAAGAATCGCATCAATACCATCTGAGAGTCACGTTTGCCTCTGTTTCCTGGGCGGGAAACTTCGGAAGGCTTTCCAACCTTGACGATAACCATAAATGGTACAATGTGGCCCTGGACTTCGTAGAGACCCGAATAGACTTTTCCCATATTATGTTGTTTCATACCCTCACCTAGGGATTCAAAGCTTAATGGCTCGGGGTCCACGGTATCATCAACGCCCAGAATATCGAGCACAATACGAGGAGTCGGTTTATCGTTTCCTTGACCAATAATCATACCATCGCAGATCACGACCAAGAGCTTGCGTTTATCATCGTACTTCATTCGAGCAGCAGAATCAAGCGCACGGCGCACTGAGTCCTCGTCTTCAGTGTAAACAGGAATTTGGCAGATGACAAACTTGTCGAGGTTCTCAGGGATATTCTTGCCGCCAAATTGAAGAGCAGCAAAGAACTTGAAAAGAATAACACTGCAAAGAATAATGGTAATGGCGAGAATGAGATACTCCGCGAATTTGCACTTGACGGAGTTTCTTGTGTCGACCTGGCCGACGTAGAACAAGTTGTCCAGACAAAGCTGCATACTAGACCGTAGATCGTCCGAGATTGGCAGGCCATTCCAGTATTTTGTGACGTCGTGACCTGATTTCTCTTGAAATAGGTCCACGACTGTCTGATCCATAAAGTCGGTGTTGATACCTGTTGGCAAATCAGTGCCGGTGGGAACTTTCACTCCACGACCACCGGCCAGATATTTGGTGAAGTCGTAAACGCGGCCGTTCAAACTGGCGATAACCGATTGCTTTTTCGCGAGTTTCGTGAGGTATGAAGGCGTATATCCTATACTACCTTTCTTGTAACCTGATGTTCTCAACTTGATCATCTGCTCAAAGAACCAGTAGGGTCGGTCATCGCCAGTCCACCATCGAAAATCGTGGTAATGGGCATTCGTGTCGCTCGTGCTGATGACGTTCGCTGAGCCAGTGATGTTCGAGTTTGTATAATCGAGCTGGATAGACTGATCGATGCTTCCATTGACACCGGCACACATAGCGCTAACCTGGACTGGGAACAGCGAAGTAGCATCAAGCCCGGCATATGCGAGCAGCGACTTCTGAGGAATGATATTGGGATAATGAGTGGGCGCGAACGAGGATAGACTGAAAACTTGTCCACGGATCGCAACATAAGCGTCGTTCTTTTTGCCGTCGTACTTCGTAAGCTCCGCAGCGCTGTAGACGTGTTGTGTCGGGCAAATAAGCTTCGGGAAGATGACAATGAAAAATGCCGCGAAGAGACAACTCCACCAGATCATCATGTTGATGGCAAGCTTTTCTCTCCATGCCATTCGCACGTCTTTGCGGGGCATTCGACCAATAAGTCGAATCGCGAAATCCGGAATGAGCCAAGTCAACATGTAGACTATTGCAACCCACCTCTTCCGGCTGGGCTTGATCTTCACTTCTTCAACTTCAACCATGGTTTTCTCGTTCCCCTTTTCTGCCATTTGCTCTCGTGTTTCGAAATTTCGGAACATGTCTCCTTGCCCAAGAGCAGAAGCGCCTGCCTCCGACCGCGAATCATCAGGACCGCCAAAGTACCCCGACTTCTTGTCCCCCCCGTAGATATAGGCGCCTGGTGGAGTGAGGCCTGAAGGTGAACCAAGAAGTCTTTCTTTCGACTGCCCATAACCAGCGTGAACATCAGGCGTAAGCATGCCATCCCCTCCATCATCAGAGGCAGTAGGATAGCGTGCTTGAGTAAAGCCTCGTTCTCCTAGTCTTGCAACATTGGCCCAGCATCTTTCGCTCAGAAAGATGCCGGTGCTCCCAATTCTAGCCTCATTACCTGGCCATCTCTTCTCATCTACGACCATTTCGGCCTTCTCCCGCTCACTACCGATCAAGACTGTGTCGGCGTCAGCGAGCCCGAGGAATTCCCCAAAGGGAAGAAAGAGGCTGAAGTCTGCATTTCGCAACCGCTGACTGATCTCTGCAATACCAAATGTTTGGATTTGAGTTCGGACACATTTGCTGTCGAACTGATTTGCTATCCGTCGATCATTGGGTTTGAGACAGAATACAAAGTATGGATTGGTGTTCGGCGCAGTGAGAGATTTAGTAACGTTGTCAAGTGAGGAGAGAAATTGAGCAGCAGCTCCTTGATCGACACTCCGACTTTTGTGGCTCTTTGCGTCTGTCTCTCCATGATCTGACGCATCATCAACGGACTCGGTAAAAATCTTAGTATCACGACCGCCGAACCTAGCAGGTCTGTCTCCTTTCCTGCGCATGACGCTGGGTTGCCGTAGAGGTTTTGAGCTGACCTGCGCTTGCATGATTGTGGTCTTCTCTTGCGGATGCACCACAGTCTGCAGAGCTTCTTGTCCAAATAGTTGTCCGACAAAATCACTTTTTGTTGAAGAAATCAGGTTCATCAGATCTCCAGAAATGACCTCGCCATTTTCTTCGACAAGTCCAGCCACGAGATAGTCGACCTCTCCAGCGTAATGCCTCACAGCAAAGGAAGCAGCAGCATTGTGAGTTGCAAAGTTGCTCCCTGGTAGCTTGGCAGTCGCACTTCCAACGGCGATGGCTGGATTTTTGCCTTCGAAACGCTTCCGAAGACTCTCGAGAAGTTGCATATCGGTCCTATTGCGTTTTGTCTGGTCATCGAGAATGCTAAGCAGTCCATTTCCGTGTTTGAGAAGGCCCTTGACTGCGTCCGAATTATCGAAGTAGCTCGTAGCTGCCACACTGACCTCCTCGTTTTCCAGCATTTCTGCCTTGCCCTCGAAGAAGTTCTGTAGCGTAAAGTTGTAAAGCGCCTCTGTGGCGGCATTGTTGAGTAGTTGGTCCAGCGTGGAGTCCGTTGAACGCTGTTGGGCGAAACCCGGGAAGTCGACTATCGAAATAGTGTTTGCAACCGTCTCCTCCACAGCGCAAACCCTCTGGTTGATGCTCTCAACCACGTATGCTACCAGCAGAGAATAGAGTGTCCGAGCAAGTTCGTCTGCATTGTTCCTAGCACCTTTAGGATCAAGCATGACAGTAACTCTCTCTCGCTGAAGAATCTTCGTCTTGTAACCTAACGTTGTTTGTAGATCCTGGCCACCAACTCCGAGGAAAGCAGCAATTATATTCAGCACTTCCTTGTTCTTGACGGCAGTGATTGTTTGTCCTCCCTCGTGGGAGTAGCCACCACTATCATCCCCTTGTGCTGCCGTATCCGAGGTTGTCTCAAACTCGAGCTGGCCTATGTGAAGAATACCGGCTAGAACCTGGCAAATCTCCGCGATTTCACTTCTAGGGAACTCCAATTTCCTTAAAGCAGTCTTGAATAATTGGAAACCCTCTGCATCATTGATTCCCACCTTCAGCTGCGTTGGATGCCCGAGGTATCTCCATCTCTTCTGCTGGTGACTTACTGAATTTCTTACGTTCTGTGGGCCAGTGGACAAAGCTCCTGGGCTATCAAGCCCAAGATGCGTCTTCTCAGCAGCACTGGTTCCGGCCAAGAGGTAGTAAAGGACGTGGAAACTTCTCTCTCCAGTTGGCACAGCAGCTACTCTACTCCGTTCCAGTCTATGATTTAGCACCTTTCCGCCAATAAGAGTTGGGTTGACGGTTGAAGCAGTATCATATTGAAGCTCGAAGAACAGGCCAGCTTTTGACGCCGTGGGAGTTGTGGCAGTTTTGGTGGTTGTCAATGTATCAAAGACATATGCAGCGAGTGACAATTTAGTGGATAGTGGTGTGGATGACTTGCCGAGGAGTGCTGAAAGCAAGTGAGAACGGAGGGTAGTTTTACCTGATCCAGACTCGCCACTTGGATAGATTAGTGGGTTGATCAAGAAGTGAAATGACGGGAAACATACAGAAACACCACAGCCTGATTTTCGGAACGTGCCCCGAGTCTTGTGTAGGCCCTGTCTGCTAATTCCTCCGCTCCTCCCATAGCGGAACCCTCTTTCCCGCCATCTGGACCTTTGGTGGAAGAAGAGTATGTATTCAGAGATATTAACGCGTGGGAAGAGAGTTGGGCTGTTGGTAATGAGACGTGGAATCGACTTGCAAGATGTGCAGTGAGGTGGGTGTCGGATTGTAGATGTGCTGGAAGGGCAGGCAGGGAAGGCTGCGAGTGAGCCCCTCCGCCGCCCAGATTGTTCAAGGCCATGGTTGATGTATGGGTCGAAACCCCCCGAGGGAAGTTGTTTTTTCTTTCTATCGTTGGTGTCGTTGCCTGTTTTAATAGGGCTGCGGTGCTCTGGTTTGTTCGTGTCTGGATTCTTCTGTTGGGTGATCAACTCGAATCTTTGGCGTAACGGAAGGTGGGAAAAAGGTAAAGTGTGCAAAGAACGGTCGTAGAAGAATCAAAACAATAGCGAGCGTCAGATAGAAAAGGAATAGCGAGTGTCAAAGGTCGAATGGTGATGGTGGATGATTGAGTGCTTCAGGAGTATGAAATGGGAAATATGTCGAGAAAGTGAAGGGACTGGCGTGGTGGTCGTTATTATCCACCGTAAAAGCATGGATACCGTAGTCTGTCCTCTTACCCCTGAACCAAAGATTTAAGTTCAAAAGACCGGGAAACTTTATAGGTATGATTACTAGATAATACTGAATTTAGACTGTTATATTGTAATATAATATAATATAAAGAAATGTAATATAGTATATTGTATCTATAAATTTAAGCAAAAGGCAGGCAGTTGACCATCGGGAATGCTCGCTCCTGCGGATATTCTACTATGGTACGGTCGGTAATGCAGTTGTTGTTGCCACACCACCCTCGTTCTCTCCACATGATAACACGAGATGTAAGGCGAATAGCTCTGCTCCTGACTGCAGCTGGCTGGTGCTTACACAGTGCCACAATAATTGGTGTACTGTATGCGGGTTGGACCGCGCTTGCGAGTAGATTTTTACCTACGGGCTTTGCAAGCCTAGTTCTCGAGAGAATAGAATCCGAGATGCCGTGAGATTCACGTGTTTGTTGACAAGCAGAGAAAAGCAATGCCTTCAAGACCAGGTAATATGTATAGTATGAAAGGAGGAAAGACAAATGAAATAAAGAGAGAAATACCTATACAAAATTATGTTAGATGTATTAGATATGCTCTGATATTTCGTAGTCTAGATCATGACTTAATAAGGGTCTTGGTGGATACAAATACCTATAGATAAAGTCTGGACTGTTCGATCTCCCCAGAGTCCAAAAAGCCTTATGGCAGTTAGTCTCACTGCCGGCTATCATGATTAAGTTGTCGCGTCATAATGTAAGATTATATTAATGTATTATATTGTTTTGTATTGTTCGTTGTATACTGCATACTTTTATAATATATATATATATCTCTCTCTCTCTCTCTCTCTCTCATATTGCTCTGGCTTGGCGTAGGCTGTTTCATTATCAATCATCTATGCACTAAATTTTATTTGTTTTGCCTTTGACGTTCCGAACCCTCCGTACCGTAACCGTACCCTTAGCTGCAACTCTTTAAATAGACACGAACCGACGCCGCTTGACGGAGCAACATGGATTATAAGCAGCATGATTCGCTGTCGGCATCCGGTATGACCAAAGGGAAGAAACGTAAAAACAAGCAACGGCAAAAGCAGCGGGGGCGTGTTTCTCGTATTGAGAGGCTTAGATGCAGGGGCCATTCTTTCTGCACTTCTCCTTCATCCCTACAGTCCACCGTACCTAGTAGGTGAGATCAGGAGAATCAACTCGACTCGACATTCCCAGCGTCCGTGTCTAAACCAGACTCTCCTCCATCAATTTGCTGTATTCCACCTGTTCTCTATTTATTGAACTGCCTCACTCGCTTTGGTGGTTTCTTTTGTGCTTTCCGCCCCTTTTTACATCTTTTAATACATTCCATCGTTCTCCACACTCACTGAAACCTGCACGTCTGTTGCTCAGCGACCACCCATCTCAATAACCTCCTACCATTTGTTCCGAACCCTCATCCACTCGAGTTAAAACTGCCACGCCTTTAGCGAGATATCCGGATTCAATAAAATATTCCGCCTCGAACTTCAGGAGAAGACAGACCTTGGACCATTCTCCGTTGGTGTTTCCCGAGGTTAACAAAAGGCTAAGGCGTTGAAGCCTGTGTGAAATTCACACTCACGCCATGGCGGGAAACAACCGTATGTCGATATACTCGAATGCGTCTTCATTAGCAGCCAATCGAAATCTCAACTCTGCTGCCCAGCAGTCGACACAGGTCTCCACGACTACTCTCCTGAATGCTACTCATACAACATACACATCCGCACAACCCTACAAGTTAGATGCCAGTACCAGTCTGGTAGTCAATACATGGTTGACTGCTTCACAAACTGATCATGAAGGACGAACCGGCGGTACAATCGATTCTGAATTATCAGTACGAGCGTGGGAACATGCCAGACGCCGGGCCGAGGACGCTTGCATTGTTTTGGGGTACGCATGTCAAATCCCTTCATATTTTAGACATTTCTAACAAATATTGTAGTTCTCTCCACCCATCAACGCCCTCTGTTCTAGCTCCCTTTTTGGGAACACTTCCTCTATCCATTCCTCCATCCCTATACACAGCACTTAATGCTCTCCGGCCATTCATCCATACCGTCTCCCCCCAAAACCACTCTACACCTCGACAATCTGCACTGGGAGTAACCTTGACCCTGACACTTGCTGGAAACCTCACAGCAGCATCCTTGGCCTTGTCAGAAGGAGGAATTGATACGTCGAAAGGTCTTTTGAACATTCCCGAGGAACCGGGATTTCGAGCTTTCGATGTCTTTTACTACCTCCTGACCTCGGCATCAACTCCAGCGGAACGGGAATTTTTGGGACTGAAACATGCTTCCAATTATGCTCTACTCGCCAAGTCCGGTACCTACGACCCTCCTTCATATTTACCAACAGCAGACGATGCTGCAGCCGCAGATGACTTCAGAGCCTCGCTGAAAGACATTGGCATCAAGGGCGCTGCCCATCGAAACCTCATATCCATATTGGCTGGGTTACTGAAACTTGGTGATACCTTGTCTTTTCACTTAGATGAGGAGGCTCTGGAAGATGTTTGCGAAGATGTGGGGGGATTGTTGGGTCTGGAGCCAGAAGTTCTCATCCAACAATGCTCAACCTCGGACAGAGAGACTTTGATAGGTGGATTGTACGAAGCTTTAGTCGACTGGGTTATTCTCAAGGCGAACGAAGCCATCGCCAGCGAGATGCAGAGGATTCGAGACGGTGAGGAATCCAGCGATGGCGGACCTGGTGCCAGGACCCCAAATACCGAAGAAGATAACGGGGACACTGTATGCATTACAGTGCTAGAAATTCCTGATGCTACTCTCGGCAAGGCTGCAGCCATGCGTGGCGTTTTTGACGATACGCAGGGCATCAATTCTGAGATGAAAGAAGATGGCGTGGAAGTCGTTGCTGCCGGATCTTCAGTCTTGCGTGAGATGCAAAATGCTGTCTCTGAAGTCGGCCCTGATCTTGGAATCATGACTGGACCTGCCGGACGAGACCGAGAGCACGAGCGTGAAAGACGTGAAGTTGTCCTTGAAAAGGTCGGCCGAGAGGGAGAAGACGACGGCTTCTTAAAGAAGATTCTCTTTCCCGTTGAAGGCCAAGGAGTCAACCTGGGCAGAGAAGGACGTCTGGATCTCCCTGCTGTTCTAGGAAGCAGCCGTGTGTGGTATCATCTCTCACTTCACCCAACTGATGAATCTCCCTCCGGCTTAGCAGCACTTCCCTCGACAACTTCTGCTTGGTCTGCAGGCACTGTGTCGCGGCAACTACGATCATGGCGACTTCCTGAGTGGGCGAATCGTCGGAACAAGAACTTAGATTTCACGGCAGACTTTGACCTGGACGAATTCTGTCAAAGATATGCTCCCCTGGGCTGCAAAGATGGCCGAGATGGTATCGAAAGCTGGATCCTGGAGCGCGGCTGGAGTAATGGAGAAGTCGTTGTTGGAACTGAGCGTATTTGGATGCGTGAAAGTGCGTGGTGGGAAGCCGAGGGAATGCTCGACTTGAAGCCCACAAATGAAATGGATTTCTCCGGTCTAGGCCTGAGCAGCGGAATGGATACTGGGTACTCGGCTGGTCAGAATCAAAGCGGCTTCTTTCCTCCTCCCATGGACGATTTAACCCCACACGGAAGTCGAGACCAGATTCTCCCAAACCGGCAAAGTTCAGCCACCATGTCTCGCAATGCACTGGTCGGTCCTGCCCGCTCACTAGCCCCCTCAAGGAACCTGGTTTCGGGCGATTATGGCCTTGGTTATAAAGGAGATAACAGGAAGGACCACGTGTATTACAATAATGAAACTGGTGAGCTAGTGGATGGCTTGGATCCTGAAAATGCAGAGCCTAAGACCATTGAAACTGCCACTACATCCACTAGCCGTCGTATCTGGGTGACTGTTGTGTGGATGCTCACATTCTGGATACCATCCTTCGTTCTACGCTTCGTTGGTCGCATGAAACGACCAGATGTCCGTATGGCGTGGAGAGAGAAACTCGTCCTGGTCTGGGCAATCATCTTGATCAATGCTATTGTCATATTCTGGATTGTAGAGTTCGGGAAACTGCTCTGTCCAAATGCCGACAAAGCATGGAATGAAAAAGATCTATCAGAACATCAAACCTCAAACGATTACTGGGTAGGCATCCACGGGAAGGTCTATGATATGTCGAAATTTTGGAAGACGGATCACAGCGATGTCGTCGGTCTATCGACCACGACCTCCACTATGCAACCTTTCGGTGGTTTGATTCTGGATGACTACTTTATGCCTCCACTTTACCTTGCCTGCGAGGGCCTTGTTTCGGATTACAAGATCGCACTGACACCAAATACCACACAAACATACCCTGATGGTGTGCATACATCAGGCAACACAAGTGCCTATTCAACTAGCAAGTTGGCTGACAACAATTGGTATGGAAGCACCTTTCTCCCTAAGATAAAGGGATACTACCATGGCGATCTTGTGACGAAGAGAAGCAAGCTTAAGAGTGAGGGTCAGAATGAGAATCATTATTGGTTTATTCTCAATGGGAAGATTTACGATCTGACCAATTACTTCCATACCTTGGATCTCATGGACGACCTCGCTAGCTATTCATTTGTTGACTCTACAGTCGTGGAGATGATTCAAAGCAATGCTGGTGAGGATATTACAAGTGCCTGGAATAAAAACTTCCTGGCAGCCAATGTTTCCCAGCAGGCACTACTCTCAAACCATATCAACTGTTTCGACAACGTCTTCCTCGCTGGTATTCCCGACTTCCGAGATTCCATCAAATGCACAATCAACGGTTGGATCCTGCTTGCTTTCACAATCATACTGTGTGCGGTCATTTTGGTCAAATTCTTCGCTGCTCTTCAATTTGGGTCTAAACGTCGCCCCAGTCCTCAGGATAAATTCGTCATTTGCCAGGTCCCCGCCTATACCGAGGGCGAAGATTCGCTACGTAAAGCACTCGACTCGTTAACAGCCCTTGAATATGACAACAAGAGGAAACTAATTTGTGTCATTTGTGATGGTATGATTGTAGGAGGTGGTAACGACAGACCAACTCCAAAGATTGTCCTCGATATTCTTGGAGTAGACCCGAAGATTGACCCTCCAGCCTTGCCCTTTAGATCTGTTGGAGAGAGCAGTGAACAGCTCAACTACGGAAAGGTCTACTCTGGTCTCTACGAATATGAAGGAAATGTCGTTCCATATCTCGTCGTAGTTAAAGTCGGCAAGGAATCCGAACAATCAAAATCAAAGCCTGGTAATCGTGGAAAGCGAGACTCTCAAATTCTCCTCATGAGCTTCCTGAACCGTGTACATCATCGATCACCAATGTCGCCACTCGAGCTGGAAATGTTTCACCAAATCAACAACATCATTGGTGTTGACCCCGAGCTATATGAGTATCTACTCATGATTGATGCCGACACTAGTGTCAAAGAAGACTCGCTGAATCGTCTCGTAGCAGCTTGTGCAAACAATGCTAAGATTGCTGGTATTTGTGGTGAGACCAGTCTTGAGAACGAGGAAAGGTCTTGGTGGACTATGATGCAAGTCTATGAATATTTCATCTCTCATCATTTGGCCAAGGCTTTTGAGTCCTTGTTCGGCAGTGTCACCTGTTTGCCTGGATGGTAAGTTAAAAAATCTATGATGCATACTACCATAAAGCTAATGAAGACAGTTTCTCCATGTATCGGTTGCGAACGGCTGACAAGGGCAAACCTCTTATCATCTCGGACATTCTTGTGAAAGAGTATAGCGATTGCGTTGTCGATACCCTACATAAGAAGAACCTTTTGTCCCTTGGAGAAGATCGATACCTTACTACCCTGATGACCAAGCACTTCCCAACCATGTCATACAAATTCATTCCGGATGCGTATGCAAGTACTGCCGCGCCCGAAACATGGAGCGTTCTTCTTTCCCAGAGACGAAGATGGATTAATTCCACTATTCACAACTTGGCAGAATTAGTCTGGCTTAAGGATCTTTGTGGATTCTGTTGCTTCAGCATGCGATTCGTCGTCTTCATCGATCTCTTCGGAACTATTATCCTCCCAGCAACCTGTATATATCTCGGCTACCTCATCTACCTGGTCGCGTCTCACAAGGGCCAATTCCCATTGATATCTATTATCATGTTAGCAGGAACATATGGTCTCCAAGCCCTAATATTCGTCCTGAAACGCCAATGGCAACACATCGGATGGATGATCATCTACCTGATAGCGTTTCCCATCTACTCATTTGTACTACCTGTTTATTCCTTCTGGAATCAAGACAATTTCTCCTGGGGTAATACACGTATAGTCGTTGGTGAAAAGGACGGGAAGAAAGTCGTAGCTGTGGAGGACGAAGGATTCGACCCACGGAGCATCCCTCTGCAGCGCTGGGACGATTACGCATTGACTAACAACCTACCTGGACGCCGTGGCGTTGCTTTCGAGAAGAACTATGACGCATACGAAGACACCTATGAAATGGACGACATGAAATCCATGTACTCATCAGTCAAGCCTGCGTCTACCATCCTTACCGGCTTTCCCGGCCGCGGAACACAATACATGCCACCGCAGTCTCCTGCCTTTGGAGGACCCCGCCAATCTGTATACACGACGCCATACGCGGACCACCCACGCCAGCAATCGGTGATGTCCCTCGGTGGCGGCGGCCTCAACGATCGCTCCGCATCTCCATACCAAGATTATCCGCATCAATCGCGCCCCAGCATGGTAATGATGCCTTCATCATCCGAGCTCCTCCGCGGCTCCCCATCCCCCAACTTGCACACCTCACAATCTCAATCCCGACTCGGTTTCTCGGGTGGAGCACGTACACCTATGCCGTACGAGCGCCCTGTATCTCAGTTTGATTTCCAGCGGGGCAATGCAGGACCAGATGATATGATGATTGTGGAAGCTATTCAAGCTTGTCTGAGGGAAGTAGATCTCGATACGGTTACGAAGAAACAGGTTCGTGCGTTGGTAGAGCAGAGGTTACAAACTGAGCTTGTGGGGGAGAGGAGGACATTTTTGGATCGGATGATTGATACCGAGTTGGCTAATATGTGAGCGAGCCTGGACATAGAAAGCGAAGCGCAGCGCGAAGAGGTGTATTAAAATGCGATGTTGTGAATAATTTATATGATGAAAGATGGGGTGGTTGGATTGGCGTTTCAGGGGTTTTGACATTTTCTCGACTCGCATTTACGGGATAATGGATTGGGGGAAAAGGGAGAGAGAGATTAGTTTGCATAATATGTACCATTGGTACGAAACAATCCTTAGTGTGGGGGAATAAAATCACTACCTATCTATATTTACAATTTTCACCTTGTTTGCGATTTACTTCAAATATCTCATACCAGTTTCTGTCTGAGGGATATAACCCAACCAGCCTATCACTGTTTTCCCCCCAACATCTCCTGCACACGTCCTCCAATTGCACCATCTGCGTTGAATTTCTCCCTAGCATCATAGAAAGATGGGATTAGCTTGCCATGTTATATCATCTCTCTCATCCATCCATCACCTATCTTCCATCATCCATCTCCCACAACCCGAAATAACAGAAGGAAACAGTCAAAACCGAAGACCACATAGGAAAACGGGAAATGAGAACAAGCAAGAGGAGAGAAGAGGGGGTGGAAGGAAACAATTAACTAACCCTATAATCCCATCCTTCGCCAACGGGGCCCCGACCTTCTGCGCCGTGCCGCCGACGGCTCCATCAGCGTTGAACATGGAGCCTATAGAGCCTTTTTTGTTGAATACTGGAGCGCCTGCTGGGGTCTGTTTTTCGTTATGTTGGTTGGTGTGGATACGGGAAATGGGGAAGTGTGGAAGTGGTTGGATTGGGTTGGGTTGGATTGGGAGGTTTGTGGAGGAGTGGAGGGAGAAATGGATGGGTTGTTGCTGTCTGTGATATAGAGGGAAGGGGAGAGGGAAGAGGGGATATACAGCTTGATGCGACGCCTCGTGAATGCCACCCGTATCATTCATAGTCTTAATAGCTGAATTCGCGCCATTGTCGAATGTCTTTGCTGTTTGGTCGCCGTCCATTTCGATGATATTTCCTACTTTGCTAGGTGGAGATGTGAGATAGATATATCTATCACGTCACTATCCCGCCTCGACTTCCACCTCTTGTGCAGTATGGTTATTTAGATTGGTTTAACTTATTCTTTTACAAGTACCTATACTTATCTAGGTGGTTTTTGTTTAACATTTTAGGGGAGATGGGATGGATGGATTGAGTGTTGAAGTCATGATACCTAGGCAGGTAGGTATTATCTATGACTACTACTACTACCGTCTGCTTCAATGGAAGGTATTGTTTCGTATGTATACTTATATTTTAGAGCATCATTTATATCTACTTGTATTATAGGTAATTATATTACGACCTACATAGGTAAGAATATATCATAAACCTCATCTATTGTTTTCCTTTATATGACGTGGACATAGCTCGACGCCCACCAGTGGTTGCCAGAATTCCGTGCGCACCCCTAATTTTTTTAGCGAAAATTCACCAAAAATGCACTAAATTCAGCGATTTTATAACTTAATAATAGAATAAATTTATACTACAAGTATATATAAAATTAAATATATAGATTCATTAAGCCAAATAGACC